TAACATGACCAGACTAAAGAAAATACTGGTAGTAATATATTTCATCAGATGCTTGATCTAGAAAACGTCGACACGAGAAGCACATTTCAGGTGGTTCGTAAAGACTTAGCATGTTGGCAAGCTTAGATAAAATCTTCTATTCTCATTTCCCTGTGCTTTGTACATTTGGTGTGCTTGGTCTGTCCTGAGAGCAGGACTGGGGCTGTGGAGGCACTATACCACGGATGTGCATACCGAAACAAGAACGAAGATCCCTGCCCTCGATAAGCTTGTCGTCTAGCTAGATGCCCCTATCTGAAATCTGATTTCCTATTTTTCATCAGATTTTAACTTTAATTTCCCAAACAGAAGTTCACGATGTTACCTTTTGACTCTGGCTTGGGCCATTTTCTGAAAACATTTCAGAAAACATCATCATTTGAGTTGTTGCTTGTCATTTTTGTATGTAGTACCAGGGAGATGAGGACAAAGAGTGCACACAACTGATTAGAAAGGACGAATCCATTAAGGAATCGTGTCCCCTTTAAAAAAGAAAATGTTGTTCTGCTTGTACCCTACTTTGAAACTTGGGAATAGTATCCCCCTTTTTAAGAAAATATTGTTCTGCTCATACCCTACTTCGGATCTTGTGAGTTTGCCAGGTACATATTAGTCTGTATCTTATTGAAAAGTTTCAGAGCCCAGGTGCCAGGCTTCTAACCCCCTCTCCACGCTTAACCAGCAAAACTTTGTTCCTGCTTCAGTTTCTGTTTGGAACATGGTGTCCTACTTTAGTGTGATGTCAAAGCTAATGGAATAGATGGTGACACAGAAGCACTGGCATAATTTTAATGTGGTCAGTTAAGCTGGACTGCCCTTTGCATGGAGCCTAGCTGATGTTAATACTAATATTAGGATAATTTTTTGGGATTTCAAAAAAATAGAAGTAGTGCAGAATAAAGGGCTGACATGATACTAACTGAAGGTAAAAACAGGCCAATGTGGTGGTGACTGAAGACAGGAGACCACTCACCACTAATTAAGTTAAGCCACCCAAGGCATATCTGGTGGTGGAGAGACCTGGCCACTTTATTGTTTGGGGTGAGGTGTGGTTAGAGTGAGTCATGCCGGAAAAGAACCATGAGTAAGCTGGCCGTTTCTCTTACAGGGTGCTTAGCATCTTGGGACTTGAGGCCAGGGGGACTGACGGAAGGCTAGTGTCATATTCTGGGGGAGCACTGACACTAAAAACTCTTGAATGCTGTTGGAGATAGCAACTTGTTTTTTAAAGACCTCTAGGAAAGGCCAGTTCCATACCTTCTATCAGAAGCTCTTCCACATTTATTCTCCCTCTCTCTGTTGTGTTTGTGTTAGCACTTTGCCCCTTCCACCTGATAGCTGTCTTGTTAAAAATATCACCTTCCTGAACAAAAGGAAAACCCAGAAACTCCAGTCTTTGTGCTGGAAGGACACCCCTGGGGGGGGGGTTTGCTGATGACCACTGCCACCGAGATCCAAGGGCAGCTGAGAAGGGCTACACTGCTCAAGAAACTGACATGGAAGTCTAGACAATAAGAGCATATTGTGGCTCCAGATTGCTGGTTCCATAAGTTTAATGTGCTTGGAATTACCTCACAGAAATGGGATCTGTGAGGTCTGGGGTGGAACGTAGTTTGTGGTTCTGATTTGGGCAGCTCTGGGATCCCACTTTGAGACGCTCAGCTTGGGATAGATCATGTGCTCGAAGACGCACGCTTAGTCCTGCAAGCTTACGTGCCCACACCATCTGATGCCAGAAAGAAGCAGCACTCTTGCCTGGATTTCTTTTCCCTGCTCAGCTGGCTGGATGTGAAGGTCCCAGAACTGAGGTCCACTTCCCTGCAGAGCACTGGGCACTGGTGGCACAGGGCTTGAGGCCTCTCTTGAGTCCATCCAAGGCCTGCCCCTCAATTTCTGGATCTTTTCTGGGAGCCCCCATCCCACCTGGGGTCTCACCATGTTAGAAGAGCAGTGAAACCTCACAGAACATCTCTCACGATTCATTTCACAACTCCTGTGTTTTTCCTCTACGAGACGGTGAGCCTAGAACTTGGGAAATCTGGACAATCCACGGACCAAATTCTGAAACCATCATTTGTTGGTATTTGGCTTATAAGGGTCAAACCTTGCCCTGTGTTTTTCGCCCATGCAATTGTTTGCTATAGTCTTGCTTAAGCAAGAACCGCGGGGCCACCCAAAAGTCAGAGCAGCTTGTTTAGAGTAATGCCTAGGATATCTGGTAATGCTTTTAAAAGACTGAACCCTTTTTAGGTTGGCTACATTTCAGATTAGCACTCTGAGTTCAGCCCTTAGCTCCATCATAAAGAATTATTCTTAACTACAGAATAGAGCATTGCTAATAATACCCATCTGTGAACCACAATATGAATTTTATGTTGATTGGAGGTTGCATTTTGGCCTGCTTGCCACTAAATGCCAAAATTGCTTCAGAGACTACTATTCGTCTCTCCTCCAGACAATAGCAAATGCGTTCAACTTCTCCAAGAGTCCCCTTGGGGCTCTGGAGACGCAGGAGAACTGGGTGAACTCTGCAGCAGATCCCATTCCGGAGACTTGCTGGAACAAGAAAGTCTTCCCACCTCCAGGCTGGAGTCGGTTAACTTGAACATTAGGACGACAGTATAGTTCTCATTACTCGTAATGGAAGGTCACCTGGGCATGTTAACCCCTTATTTGTTTTCTAGCCTATATATTTACCTGCTTGTTGACCTCCACTCTGCACATTAGTCACGGGGGAGGGGAAGGGGGGAACTCTGAAACAAAGATGGTGTCCAGACCCTCCCAACCAATTAAATCTGAATCTGGGGGTGGGCCCTTGCATAGGTATCTTTCCAAGCTCCTGGGCCTGAAGAACACTGCTCTAGCATGAGCTTTGCTCCCTAGGAAATGCATCTTCTCTGTGGCTCCACCAGGTACTCTTTCAGGTCCGTCTCCAACATTTATACCCCAGAGCAGATAAATTCCAAAAGGGAGAATTGATAAAGAGAAGAGAGACACAAGGGGAGGGCTTGAATTCCTTGAAGTTGCAAGTTCTGCCTTTGACCATCCAGTTCTTGCCGTAGGGCTGGGGTGGGGCATGGATGGACCATGGAGCCCTGGGGCGAAAGGCTGCCTCTGAAGGCCTAGAGGTTGGATTTGGTCACTTCTGGGCTGCCTGCAGTGTGGCTGCACATAGCAGTTTTTAAAATGTGAATACCAATCCCTAAAAGGCAGGTTTCATGTGAAAGCATTCTCATAGTTGATGGTGCTTGACAGAAGACTCAGTGCTAAATCATATGACACACTTGTGAGTGTGGGTTCATCAAGTTTCCTTTAGTCAGGTGCTCTGCTCATGAGGGTAAGACTCCAGTGAAACATGATTGTGTTTCCTCTTCTGACTGGGGGTTCACCATTTGCGAAAAAATATTCCCATCGTTACTTTGTATCAGTGCCTTCTCCTTCCATAAGACCCCTGAGGCTGGGCTATAATGACTGGCTTGAAAGAGAGAGCAATCCTGGGATGAGTTTGGATTTTGCTGTGGAACCTAGGGCTATCTCTTAACTGCACTGGTTCTGAGTGTCCTCATCTATGGGGGAACAAGAGCAAATAATTTCTAAGTTTCCACTTCCGGCTTCTTGGGATTCCAGTAGTGCAAGATTAGAATGGAGACCACTTGGTTTAAGAGCAGTCTGTGTGTAAAGGTGAAGAAACTCTTAAGTCAGGGTGTCGGGTCAGCACTGAAATGCTAGCCTGGAGAAGTCTAGGAGGCCAGAGAAGGAAGGGCTGGAACTAAGGGCTGGATGCTTCAACCATCCAAACAGGTGAAGATGGACCTGGTGGTCTTGCGAGGGAGGAAGTGCTCCATCACTGCAGATGTCCATCCCAGACCAGGCAGCCATTTGGCGGGGATGGTGTAGGGAGCGAAGGTGGACAAGTCCCTTCTCAACATTTAGAGATAATGGGAAAACAGGAGGGGCCCCGCATCTCCCTCCTTTCCTTCGAAGAAAAGAGGTTGGTTCCCCAGGACATGCCCTCCCCGCAGAATGGGATGACAGCACCTTGGTTGTTTTCAATCACTATTTTTTTTTTTTAATTTTTAAAAATATTTACGACAGTAAAGGTCGTACTATGTGACAGGGGGACAGATGCCTTTGATGCATCCCCCTTTCATTTCTACCTCAAAACAAGATTAAGGCATAAATTACTCGCTGGGCACTGGGCATGCCTGTTGTCCTCAAGGCGCTGTCACTGGTGGTACCACTTGTCCCGTGGGCCAACGGATCAGATATTTGCCACCGAGGTTGCCCAGACTCCGGTGTCCCTACACCGGCTTTAACCAGTGTGTTCCAGAGAGGACCCCTCAGCAGCGCCGGCTGAGCCCTTCTCTCGTGCACGGTGGGCGGAAGGGAGGGAAGGGAGGCTGTGTGTTTGTGTGTGTGTGTGTGTGTGTGTGTGTGCGTGCGCGCGCGCGCAGGGCGGTGGGTGATGCAGGGAGGGGAGGCTCCGCCCCGCTCCCCTGGGAAGACCAAGTGGGGACGCAGGACCCAGGGATTGCGTGGTGCGCGGGCTCCCGCTGGGCAGTAGGAACAAACCGGGCTGGCGGGGTGCGCGGGGGTGTGGAGGGCCCGCCTGCCTCCCCATCTCGGGGTGGGCGCCCCATGTTCTGCGTCCCAGCTGCCCGTCCATCACAGTCTCCGCGTCCCAGGGTCCTTCTTCATCCCTGGCCAGCAGCTGTCACCATTGAGCCCTTGGGCCCCGGTTCATTCAGGGGCAGCCCTGGGGACCTATCCTGTCCGAGGAAGGGGCGAGCGGGACTCGGAGCCTTGAGCAGCGCGGGCGGTGGGAGGACAGCCCAGAATGCAGATCTGCTGTCCCCACCGGGGTCCTTCCGGGACTCGAGGCCTGGAGTGTGCAGAGTGGGTTCGCAGGGCAGTCTTCCTCTCCCGGTTTCTTCCGAGGATGGGATGGGATGGTTGGAATTCCTAGCACCTTAGTGGCCGGGGCTGCAAATGCCCCCACAGAGCCTGGGGGAGGCTTTGGTGTGCCGTGGGAGGGGTCCCTCTAAATCACCAGGGCTCTGTGTTGGAGGTGTCAGGGCCTACCACTAGAGCAGTCCCTCTTAAAACTGGCTTGAGTTCCTTTCAGAGGGTGCAGCCTTGGTCTCTCAGGAGATGAGGTCAAGTGCAAAGCGAGCTGGCGGTCTTCACCCCAGCTCAGTGGGCCCTGGGCCTGGGCCTGCACACTGCCTGGACTGGCGTCCTGGCCCCCATCGACTTGCAGCCTCCTCTGAGCCTCACTCCAGCACTTTGGGGGTGGGGTCCAGGCCAGGCTCCCTCCTGCGCTTGGCACTTTTAAAGAAGCCGAGCTGTGGGAGGCAAAGGGAGAAGTCTCAGCGGTGGGCAGGGAGGACAAGGCCTGTCTCCCCTCCCTGGTTCCCCTTCACTGACCCTCCAAAGGCTCCTTCCCGAATACCCCAGCTAACACGGAGTATCCCCCAACCCCCAGCCCAGCAGGACTCCCTTGGTGGGCCGCAGAGTGGGCCACTTAATTGGTGAGGTGGAGGGGCTGCAATGGAGCGGATGGAGCCTGGGTCAGGAAGCAAGAAGTCGTGCTGTGTGACCCTGTCCCAGTCAACACCCCTCTCTGGGCCTCCCTCCCCTCATCTATAATAGGAGGAGGTTGAGACCAGGGGCTCTCCACCTGAGGCTCAAAGACAGAGAAGGCTTTGGGGGACTTGCTGGCAGCCTGACACTGTTTGAGAAATTTTGTGGCTCTGTGTGCTTGCTTCTTTTTCTGATAAGAGGAGACCTAGCTTTCATCAGGTTCCTAAAGGGACCCAGAGAAGGGTCAGAGCCACAGGTTGCGGGTCCTCTGGTGGTCCTAGCCAAGCTGTCCCCTGTGGTGAGAGGCGGATGTTTTGGTAGCAGGCGAGTTCTGGCGAGGAGGCTGGGTGGGCGTCAGCTCCCATGGGGAGCACATGGGGACTGGCCCCAGAGCCCAGAGGCTAGAGCCCCTGGCCTGGGCCAACCTGCCAGGATGCTGCTCCCCACCACCTGCCTGCTGGGGCCTCACCTTCCATAGTGCCAGGACCAGCAGGGCCAGCAGCAGGAGGCCCCCCAGGGTGCTGCCCACAATGATCCAGATCGGGATCTGCCAGTCTTCTTGCTTGGAGATCTCAAACGTGATCTGCAAGGGGAGGAGGGCGCCAGGTCAGCAGCATTACTGTTCCGGGACCCTGGGGGCAGCCAGGCGGCAGGGGATAGCTAGCGCCTGGTGGCATCTGCTGGAGGGATGGGTGGCACCCGGCCTGCAGAGGCCCCAGAGCCCCCAGCCCTTGCACAACGGACGCGGGACTTAAGGGACCCAGGTGATCCTACCTCCTCTTTGAGACACTTTCTGCCTTTGGCCTCAGGCCCCTCTCCACTCCCCCTGGATTCTCCTACCACGTGGGTTACTTTTTCTTATTTTCTCTGCTGCTTCATCACCTCCCAAACTTCTAAATTTTGGTGTGTCCCGGGGCTCTGTCCTTGGACTTCTGCTTTAATCTACAGTCACTTCCTGGTGAGCTTGGGGCCGTATTCCCTGGTAGGCACCGTGGGCCCAGGCCCCTTCATGCTTTTGGGGGCCCCTGAAAATGTTCTATAATTTCTTTTAAAATTAGAAGAAGAAAAGAATATAATCTTGCTTGGATTATGTTTGTCTTTATATGGACATTGCCATAAAATAATAATTTAAATTAATTTTTTAGGGAGGAAGGGGCTCCGAAGGCAAAGGTGCTCAGGGCCATGGAGGGCTTAATGCAGCCCTGGGCAAACTCACTCCAATGTAGGGCTTTTCCATCTCCCTGCGGACTGCTGTCACCTGGCCTCTCCGCTAACTTCCAGACTCATGTCCTACCGTCTCCTGGCCTGCTTGGCATCTTTAACAGGTCCCCAAACAGACTCCTGATCCTACTCCTCACCCTCGAACCTCTTCCTCCACCGCCTTTCCCACGGAAGCAAATGGCCGCACTCTTCTTTCTTGCTGTTGCTCAGGCCGGAAACTTCGTAATCGGCACTGACTCCAGCAAAGTCTGGCCGTTCTACCTTGGAAGCACCGAGAATGTGGCCAGACCTCTCCCTCCAGGGCTACCTCCTTGGACCAGCACCCTCCTCTTGCCCTGGAGACCGGTAGAGCCCGCCAACTGCCTCCCAGCCTCCGCGTCGCCCTCTGCAGTCTGTTCTCGGCATGGCAGCCAGAGGAAGGCAGATTGATTCTCTGCTCTGCTCCCAGCCTCCAGCTCAGAGTGGAAAATAAGAGTTGCTGTCCTGGCCCGCAAGGCCCTATACTCTCTGGCTCTGCTCACCTCGCTGGCCCCATTTCCTCCTCTCCCCATTGCTCTCTCTACTCCAGCCCTCCAGCTGCCCGGCCTCCAATGTGCCAAGCACACACACACTGCTGGGTCTTGTCCTTGCTGCCCCTTCTGCCGGCATGGCTCCCCCACCCCGCCCCCCGCCCCAGATAGCCACATGACACCCCCGTTCTTCATGCTCTCTGTCTGATGTCAGTTTATCCGGGGGGGCTCTTCCCAATCCCCTTGTATAAAATAGCACCCCCCCCCCAAGTCTCCACCCTTTTGCGCCTGTTGTTTTTCTGGGCAGACCTCATCACCACTTGACACTGATATATTCCTGTGTCTTGCCATTCTTCCCATCTAGAATGTCAGCTTTGTCTGTGTTGGTCACTGTTCTATCTTCAGGGGCTGGGACAGAGGAAGAGCTCAGGCAACATGGCGGATGACTGAACGAGTGAACCCCCCTGGCTTGGCCACCGACTCACTGTTCATTCAACTTGAAGCCAGTCAGGGCCTCCTCTCTGCCTTATTTCCCACAGCCTCAGTTTCCATATCTGAAAAATGAGGGGGAGCATAACTCACAGTGCTTTGAGGAGTGACCCAGAGCGCATGCCAAGTGTCTGTTACAGGGCCTGGCCCAGAGTCAGGGCTCAACAAACGGCCAGTGCCTTCTATGTTCTCTTTCCACCCACGAAGGCTGGGACCTTCTCCGCCTCCCCACCCCTGACACTAGTTCACAGCCAAGCCAACCGGGGCCTTAGATTCTGGGTTGCGGGATTTCTAAAAGAGAAGTGAGGCATCCAGAGAGGATCAGAGGGATTTTTTGGGGGGGGCAGGTGGGAGTGGAAGGAGGCGAATTCGCTTAAAAGACATGAACTAGCGTAGAGAGAAGGGTCGTGTGCGTGCGCGCGCGCGCGAGTATGCCCGTGTGCGCGCACGAGGGTGCGTGTGTGCGCGCTGCGTGTGTATGCGCGTGCATGCGGGCGTGTGCGAGTGCGTGCGAGTGTGCCCTGCGTGTGCGCGGTTGTGCGCGCGTGCGTGCGCGTGCACGTGGGTGTGCGCAGGTGGGCGTGCGTGTGTACGCGTGGGTGTGCGCGTGCGTGCGTGCGTCTCTGTGTGCGTATGCGCGTGTGTGCGCCTATGTGTGCACGCGCGTGCGTGTGAGCACGTGTGTGTGCGTTTGTGCGCGTGTGCTTGCGTGAGTGTGCGCGCTTCTGCTCGTGTCGTGTGTATGCGTGTGTGGGCATGCGTGCGTGTTTATGCGTGTGCGCGCGTGTGAGTGTGCCCGTGTTTGCGCGCGTGTGCATGTGTGAGCGTGTGCATGTGGGCATGCGTACGTGTTTATGCGTGTGCGCGCGTGTTTGTGTGCGCATGTGTGAGGGCGTGCGTGCGCGAGCTTGTTTGGTCCCCTTGTGTGCGCGAGCGTGTGTGCGTCTGTGCGCGTGTCCGTGCGTGTGTGCGTGTATGCGTGTGTGTTCGAGCGTGTTTGTGCGCGTGTGCGCCAGTGTGTGCGTGTTTACGCGTGTGCGTGCGTGTGCATGCGTTTGTGTGCGTTCGTGTGGGTGTGTGCGCGTGTGCGCGCGTGTATGTGCGCCTGTGCGCGCGTGGGCCCGTGTGCCTGCGCGCGTGTGCGTGTGTGCACGTGTGTGCGTGCGTGCGTGTGTGGTGGGGGTGCCCATACAACGCCTCTTTTCTCTCGGTTGCTTGCAGAATTCCAACAGATTCGCTTCAAGTGGACTGTCTCCAAGGAGCTTTTCCCTGGACATCCCTCCCTCTGACTGCCCCCCCCAGGCCCAGCACCTGTGCTCACCCCCAATTCACAGCCATGCTGTTACCCTCATCCCCTTGTCTGCTTAAATCATCTCTGTACACCTGGGGGCCTGAGTCATGGGAGGAACACCCACTAAATGTTGGATGAATGAACAAATAAAACTGCTCCTTAGGTGGGTCCCCTGTACCTGCTCCCCCTCTGCCTGGCAGCCCCCCACCCGGTTTACGAGTGGTATGTGTGCGTTTGATTGAGGTCTGGCTTCCTGTCCATGCCGAGTTTGCTCTCCAGCATCTCCGGGGGGGCGGGGCTGGGGGTTCACTTGGCCTCTGGTACAGGAGCCGCTCTCAAGGAACGCAGGCCACGGCCGGTGTGAGGATGTGGCCAGTGGAGGGCAGCAGTGTCCCATGTCCCAAGCCCCTCTCCAAAAGACTGGGCTTTTCTTCAAGACCCAACTTCTCATTTTCTCAGGAGAGTACTGCACGAAGCCTCACCCCCTTCTGCGCCCTGCTTCCAGCCACGCTGGTCTGTGACAATCCGGTTTTACCCAATTCGAAATGAGTCCCAATACAGAGACGTCTTGCATCCCTTGTTCTTCATGAATTCAGTTCACCCCAGACTCCTAAAGCACAGTGTGTGCATTTCCTTAGATTTGAGGTGAGAATGGATGGGGAGGAGAGCGGTGGATGGTCATCCTGCCTCACTGCTGGTGGAGCCCATCAGTGAGTCTCCCCCCCACCCCCACCCCCAGGGCAGGCAGGCCTGAGCTCCAGTTCTTTCCTCTAGTGCAGAATACGCAAGTTCCCCTCCTTCCTCCGCTTCCACGGGGCTGCTGTGGTACACAGCCTGGAGCCCCCGAGGCACTGGTCGAATGCCTACTTCCTGCCCCCTCCCTGGTTCTCCCCCTCCCGGCCTATTTGTCCTGCTTCTCTCCTCTCCTCTGATGCTGCACTAACTGCAGATCGGTCCTTCTCTCTCCTGCAGGAACACGTGGGCAGAGAGTACAGGGAACTCCAGGGAAAGGGGCAACCCCTTCCCTAGCTGGTCTGGCTCGAGCTGAGGCCTGCAGGGTTCCCAGGGGCTCACCTGGCGGCTGGGATCCTCCTCGCGGAAGATGAAGGGACTGTGGAACTGTCTTTGCAAGGCTGCATTGATCGTGATCTTCATCAACTTGTACTTGAGCTGTATAATCAGAGGCCTTGTCAGAAGCTGACCCCTCCCCCACTGGGAGACCCCCCCCCCTCCCCCAGCACCCACCACCTTCCCTTGTTTCCTTGGAGTCTAGCTCAAGTGCTCTACTTACTGCTTTTAGGGACCTCAACCACAGGTTCCCCAGCAGATGGAAACTGATCTCCTGGTTGGGGGCCAGCCTCACGTTGCAGTTGATGGAGACTACATCAGAGTTGCTATGATTCTGAAAGAGGAGGTGGGTCTCGGGGTGAGCGACCGGGTTCTGGGGGAGCAAGGGAGGCAGCTGGCCCAGCCATGACCCAAGAATGTGAGCAGGGGCTTGGGCCATGAGAGAGATGGCTGAGCCCAAGTTTTGCTCCTGGGGGGGGAGGGGCAGAGGACGGGGACAAGGAGAGGTGTGGGGTGGGGGGACACATGGGCTGGAGGGCAAGGTAAGGGTGGCATAGCCAATGCTGGTCAAGGTTGTGCGTAACCGCGTGTATTCCAGGAGCAGAACTTTGGTTCGACGTTAGGGAGCCTATAAATGTCATCACCACACAAACAGATTAAAGGAAACAATTGTATGATTACTGTAACAGATGCAGAGAAAGCATTTTAGGAAATCCAACTTCTGGTTATGGTAAAAACTCCCAAGGAACTTCCTGAATCTGAATAAAGGGTGTTTATAGAAAACCTACAGCAAGTATCATATTTAATAATGAAAAATTAAAAACAATTTTTAAAAATCAGGTTCAAGACAAAACTGTCATCACTTCTTTTTCCCCCTGCCCTGGAGGTCCTAGCCAGAGCCAGAAGATGAGAAAAACAGTTTATAAGGATCGAATGGTAAAACTAACCCTGTTATTATTTACAGATGATACCATCTCAACAGAAAACCCAAAGAAATCGTCAAATAATCAGAATTTATTAGATTAAACTTGTTTGTGTCTCTCTCTTGCAGCCACCTCAACCCCCCCCACCCCCCAGGCCCAGTCTTCAGGAAAGTACACTACACTCAAAAAATGCTTTGTGTGAGGCGCTCGTTTGGGGAAATAAAACCCAAACAGATAAGAGGTTTGCTTGGGGAAGAACAGTGAAAGCATGCTCAGAAACTGCTCTCTGGGGGGCAGTGGCAGCCCTGGGAACATAAAGCTGGAAACCAGCAGGTGTCTTGGGGAGGGCCTTGGGGCTCAATGTCTCCAAGACAAGCCAAGCAGGTCCTGGCCTTCATAGCCTTGCTCGGTCTGGGCTTCCCCTTCCCTTTGCTCTTCCGTATCCTGCTGGCCCTTTAAGGCACAGGTGCCAGTCCACGATCCCTGTTCCATTACTGGAGGTTGTCTGCTCTGCTGTCACTCTCTTGACACCTGTCACAGCCTTGTCCCCTGGCTCTTCTGGCATCCACTCTTATGTGCCCTGCGAGATGGTGAGCTCATTAAGAGCAAGACGTATCTTTTCTTCATTCTGTTTCCTCTCGGTTTGAGGCTCTAGTGGCCAAGCACTGGGTAAGGGGGACACTCACCAGCTGTGGGGCACGGGTCAGGTCTTCCTCTGTCGGGGCATGTCGGTATTCGGTGCTGTTTCCCCAGATGTTACAGGACGTGTTCACCTGCACGAGGGCCACACACAACCAGCCTCACAACCAGCCCTGGCACACTCAGCATCCCGGAGGCGCTCTCTTCTCCTCCTCTTTCCCGAGAAGGCCCTGCTGGCCCGGGGCCAGGGAGGAGGAGCTGAGGTCTGCGGACTTGGGGACCCCCTCGGGGTAGGTCTGTCTCCTACGGGTACCCTCCCTTGCGGAGGCTCCTGAGGGCACGGGTACCTGGTCAGTAAGGAAGTCCCTCAGCATCAGCAGGCGGTTGCCCCCCCTGGTGGCGATGGGGACGGTGATCTTCATCATTACTCCGTGGATAGGGAACAAGCCCAAGTTTTGGATCTGTGGCCAGAGAGGGGAGGAGTCAGGACGTCCAGCAGCAGCTGGGGGGTAGGGGGTGAAGGACGAGGTCCAAGGGGGCAATCCCCCTATCCAGGTTGGGAAGCAGGTCCCTCCAAGCCTCCTGGCATATTTGCTCTGCCAGATCACGGCGGGAGCTGTGCCGACAAAGGTGCGTGAAAGCCCTGAAGCGGCCAGGCTCCTGGAGGCTGAGGACAAGCCGGTGGGGTCATGAGGCTGGAGAGCAAGGTCACTTCCATTCTCAGCCTCTCTTGGCTGTGGGGATTCTGTAGCCTGGTGCTGGTGGCCACCCTGGGCTGAGGTCGGGGCGGAGATGGTGAGAGGAATGCATTTATTATGAGAGCGAATCATTGATTAACGAGGGCTCTAACTGGTGAGCCAGTGATGATGCACATCTAGCTGTGATGTACCCCGTGTCTGAGCAGCGGTGATTCCAAGCAGGTCTCTGGACTCAGAGAGGCCGGTACACGGCCCAGGGCTGCGACCGTGTACTGGCTGTGTGGCCTCGGGCAGTCACGAAACCCCTCCTGGACCAGCCACCCAGGTACCAGTACCAGCGTGTCTGATGCGCCGTTTCCAGCGTCAGCCTGCCCCAAGCTCTCACGCAGAGTTCAGGGGTTGGGGCGGGGGTGGGCCGCGGGGCCCACTGGGCAGACTGCTCAACTGCCCCCTCATTCCCCTTCTCGCTCCTTCCTCACACGGGGACAGAGATGAATGCCACATTTCCCAGCCTCCCTAGGTAACTGGCAGTGTGAGGAACTGTCAAGGAGTTTCTTTAGTAGGGAGGGGCCTGCTCTTCTCCCCTTCCTCCTTCCTGGGATGAGAGTGTGATGACTGGAGCTGCAACTGTCTTGGACTATGAGGTGAACCTGAGAGGCTGACGGTGGCATGTTGAGGATGGTGGAGCAGACCCAAGACCCGATCCTGAATGATTTTGTGGAAGCTGCCAACCCTGGACTTCTTTCATGGAGAGAATAACCTCTGGTCCATTTAGACCACTGTTTTTTATATTTTTTAAATTATATGCAGCCACACCTAAGCTTCACCAATAACATCGTCCCAGTCCCATTCTTTTCTTTTCTTTTAAGATTTACTTATTTTTATTTGAGTTGGGGCAGAGGGACAGAGGGAGGGAGAGGATCTCTAGCAGATTTCCCGCCGACCTTGGAGCCTGATGCGGGGCTCGATCTCACGACCCCGCGATCATGACCTGAGCGTAAACCAAGAGTCAGATGCTTAAGCGACCGAGCTCCCCAGAAGCCCCCCATTATTTTCTAGATGAGGACTGAGAGGCCCAGAAAGGGCAAGGAACTTGCCTAAAATCACAGTGACTGGGGAGCAGGGCCAGGGCTGAACCCCAGGCACTCGCAATGATTCCCGACTCCTCCCCCCCAACCGGGGATCCTCAGCTCTCGTCCTTCACTCTCTGCCTGGCTCTCTGCCAGCCTTACCTTGAAGACGCAGCTGAGGGGAGGCCCAATGCCGTCGTACCTCTCCAGTGAGCTGTTGGCCTTGACCTCGTAGTGGCTCAGGCTACTGCTCCTGCAGGGACAGAGGACAGGGCCGCCGTGAGCTCAGGCAGTGTGGGCCAGCTGGATACATGCATGAAAGAGGGCGTGGGCACGTGCCTGGCTCCCCTGGACCACAAAAAACAGGTTTCCTCTAGTGTCCATGGGGACTGGGAGGGCTGTGTCAGGAAGGATTCAGAGCCTCAGCAGGAATGCGCGCTGAGATGGCTCAGCAACATCTGCGTCCTGTGGGGGATTGGCCACGGGCCACAAGAGCCGGTCGTTGGCCATCCCCGCCCTCTGGGGCCGTCCCTGGCCTCTCTGCCCAGGGGCACGGCCTCTTTGGAACATAAACTCTCCCACTCTGGCCTGTTCCAGCCTTCGACAGTGGCCACGGCAGGGCCTGCGCCTGCTTTCTCTGTGGTTGCTAGTCCGACTTTTCCATCCGCCTAGGGGCTCCCAGAGGACAGGGGTGGCCGGTGGGAGCACTTTGCCCTGCGGGGAGGAGCATTTTTGCGCTTTTGCTGTGGAGAGTTGCTGGTGCAAGGTGGTAACGAAAAGCAGACGGACTTTTAGTAGGCTTTAAGACTATTTTAAAATCTCTCAGACCATGCCCCCACTTATAGCCTGCGCTGGGGGTGGACACCTCCCATGGCCCCGGCCCTCCCCCTCCCCCTCCCCCCAAGGGGGCTCCCAGGAGGCCAGCTCTGTGTCTCCTCCTACCCCCTGTGCAGCACGGCTGAGGGGGCCGCACTCTCTGAGCCCTCAGGGACACCCCCGGCTCCATCTTATAGTCCCTTGGCACTGCAGCCTGGCCCTTGAGACCTCTGGTAGTATGAGGGCCCCCTGGAGGGTGCCCCGTCTTGGGCCTCACTTCTCTCAGGCCTCCCCCAGCCTGCCCCCGCCCGCCCCCCACCCCCGCCGCCCACCTGGTGAAGAGGACGTCAGCCTCATATTTGAGGTGGAAGCGCAGGAGGGCCGTGTTGTCTTCCTTGGTGCTCTCGTCCTCATCACTGTCACTGCAGGGAGAGCCACGCGGGGCGGTCGGGGTGGGGGGCCGGCGCGCCTTCCGCCAGCTGAGCCAGCACACCGCATGGGCTCAGCGCAGCCCCTTCAGATGGGCAAAGCAGGGATGAGTGCCCCCCCCACCTCCCAACTTACAGGTGAGAAAAGGAAGGCTCAGAAAGGCTGCATGAACTTCCCAAGGACACACAGCAACTGGGAGCGGGACACTGGTTTGTTCTCTTTCTTCGGTGTTCTTTCTGGGGACTTCTCTCCCCTCGGGCATTTTTCCATTTTAAAAGACCTTCCTTCTCTTACTCTCGGAGGCTAACCCCCGCTTTGCCTATCTTCAGGGGCTGCTGTGAGGCCTGACGATTATACGTAGGGTGCTTTATAACTGAAGGCTTTACAAATATAGCTGCCAGAGAAATCGCTATATAGAGGTAAGGGTATTATTATTTCTATCCGAGCTGCCCGAGAGTACAGAAGGCAGCAGCAGGTGGGCCCCCCTGGTCGAGGCCGGCAGGGACGGCCTGGGGGCGATTCCATGGGTGCAGGGAGGAGCTGTGGCTAGCAGGGGGGAGCAGCGAGCGGAGCCCAGCGGGGGCACAAGGAGCAGGCGACGCCCAGACCTGCCAGCCGTGAGCCGGATCTCCAGGTGGTGCAGGAAGACGAATTTGCTGAACTCAAAATCTAGCCGGAAAGCCACCTGTGAGGAAGAGGTCCAGTCGCTGGAGCTGGGGTGGCTGGGCACTGCGGGGTCTGCGCACGGCCAGCCCGCCCCTCCCTGCCCCTGCCCTGGTTCCCCGGGGGGAGGGGGGAGGGTAGCTGCTGACTGGGAGCTGCCCGGGGCCGGGCTGGGGGCTTGTGAGGGCTGCTAACTGGGGTGCCGGAGTGATGTGAGCTGAGCTCAGGACCTGGGGGTGCAGCCATAGACAACAGCTCCTCTGATGGGGTTTCTTGGCTCTGGGGCCAGCCGTCCTCCCCCTTGACTTCCTTTTTTGTTTTCAACTATAGGCAATTAGCAGGCAGCAGGTCCAGCTTCAGGATCCTGCAGGAATTCCTGAGTAGGGAACTTGATGGCCGGAAGGGGAGGTGGCCATCACCGTGAGCCACAGGATGCGGGACCAGAAGCCAGTGGGAAGCCTGCCTCAGCGGCCCCTTCTTCCCCGTGTGCAGTGGGGTGAGGCCAGCAGAAGGGTGAAGGCTGCCTCGGGCCACCCAGCAGGTTAATAAGGCACCTGCCTCCTGGTCCAGCGGTCCTCCCACCACTCTGATGGTCCAGTCCTGAGCTTCCCTTGGCCTTGGCGCAGGACTTCGGCCTGGGTCCCCTGACTGTGGCCCTGTGACCTCTGACCCTCCTTGCCACCGCCCACCCCACTCTGGGGGCGTTACAGGGGCTTTGCACAGACCCCGTGCTCTTCCCAGGTCTGGCTCTCATGGGGTTTCCCAAGGAGACCTTGGGGCCCCATTCTTGACTTTTGTCCCAGTGGGGAGGTTCTCTGGCAAGGATTCTCCCCCTCTCCCCACAGCCTTGCAGACCCTGGTCCTGGGAACATGCTGTCACTCTACCTGGCTCTTGCCTCAAGTTCCCTCTGTCTGATTCCTGCTCTACAGGCAGCCTGGTCTCAGTCGGGTCTTTTCTTGCGCCAGAACCTTCAGTGGCTGCCCACTGCCCCGTGGTGATGGGCCAATGCTACATGACCTGGAGTCTGGAATTTGGAGATCCTCCTTCCTGGAGAATTTGCTTCTCCCCTCACACACCCTACCCACTTTCCGCTTGCCCTTTTAAGCACATGGTAAGTGCTCACGAAATGTTCATTTTTCTCCCAATCTCTCCCCACGCATGCAGCACGATGACAGAGGCCGGACTTTGAAAAAATGTGTTAGGATAAAGGACAGAGGGATAATTGGCCAAGAGCTGGTGGGAGAGTGGTGGGTGGGAGCGGCGGTGCTGCCTCTGAGGTGAAGGGGCCTGGATGCTCCCTTGGGGTGGGCTGGCTAGTTAGGTCGTTTGAATGTCATTTCCCGGGGGAGAAAACATACTTAAAAGCCACGCTCAGGCGTCTCCAACCTTCCCCGCTTCTCCCCTCTGTTCCTTTCCGTTTCCCTTGCCTCCCTAGTGCCTCCCAGTACCCGCCCCAGTCCCGCCCCCACACTGCCCCCAGCCTCAACCTTGGCCTTGGCCCGGAAGAAGGGGTAGCTGACATTGCAGACTTTCTTGTGGAGTCTCCTCTCCTCGTTCACGCACTCGATGCTGCCTTCTGAGTCGTCCTGGGGGCGGGTGGGGGGCACCGCGGGTGGCAGTTAGGAGGGCCAGACACCCAGGTCTGGGGGCCACCCGTGCCGCCCCTGCCGCCTACACTGAAGCTGTAGCACAGGTCCTTGGAAGGAAGCTGGGACCCCAGGGGCCCCGGAGACGGGTGGCGGTGGCTTTGAGGGGGAACTGTCACCAGGCTCCAGGGCCTCTCTGAGCTGCGGCCCTCCTGGGCCAGCACGGGGGTCCGCTCCGCACGGGTCCTGACGGGGGGGGGACTCCCTCACAGCGCTCTAGCTTGACGCTGCTGGGTGGCTGTGCATCTTTGTGTGAATCTTTGGGCATGCATATGCACGTGTGGATGGACAGGCATGTCCGTGTAGACTCCGCATGTGTGGGTCTGCATGTAGGCCCATGTGTGTGCATGCGTCCGGTGGCATGTGTGAGGAACACGTGCACTTCCTTGGGTGTATAGGTAGGTCTGTATGCTTTTGCATGTGTGTGTACAAAGTGCACGTGATCAGACTAACACCTTTGTATCTGGCTGGGGTGGGGGGTGCTTCCTCCACTAGAGATCCCCTTGGCTGGGTGCTGGGGGTTGGGGGGCAGCCTGGGGAGAGGAGTGCTGATCTCCCAGCTGTGAGCAGCTCCTGGGCTGGGGCTGGAGGGGCGGAGCCAGGTTGCGGGTTATCCCTACTCACCGCCTGTCCTGTGTGTGGATGCAGCTCCTTATGGAACACACCGACCACTTCTCTTTGCCTCCCTCAGTTCCCAAAGCCTTTCTATGTCACAGACACAAAATCCCACAATGCCTGCCCCCTGAATAGTCACAGCACTGTATAGTCCGGGCCAGGGAAGCAGTGAAAAGGGGAATGCAGGTTTGGGGCTCAGTTTCCCCTAAATACCCCAATTCAGACAGATGCAAAAGTCTCTGGGCAGGACAGGACTTGGAAGGAGGACCATCACATGGGCTCCTCATCTTCACTCGGGATTGTGGGGGGGCTTGGCGGTGGGGTCCAGTCCTGGGCCTGATGGAGGGACTGCCTGGCAGAGGTTCTGGGGGTTGGTGAGGACAGAAGGGTCCCGTGCCTGCCCCACCCCACACTCTGGGCTCCGTGCTGATGCTCTGAGATCACTGAGGGTGGAGACTGTGTCTGAGGGGAGCTGGGACCCCCCCAGCACCCACACAGGACAGCGATGTCCTGGGTTAAGTTGATAATCCTGTCTCAGGGACTTCTCTGTGCTTGTGCTCTGCGGAGTTCAGGGTCACCACAGGCCAGCACTCAGGCACTGTGGATTTCCTCGGAGCTGCGTGGGGCCTTCTGGGAACTCTGCTCTGCTGCTTATTAGCTGTGTGGTCCTGGTCAGGCCCCTTAACACCCCTCTGTGCCTCACGCTCCCCCTCTGTAAGATGGTAATCAAAAAGAAACAGGAGCCTGTCGGGCAGAGGAGGGAGGGAGTCCAGGTTGGGGACCGCGGTGGGGAGGGCCTCGGCATGAAGGCAGGGGTGCCAGGAAACAGCAGTGGCTGGTGGGACTAAGGGTGTGGGGGTGAGGGTATAGGGGGCAGGTGATGGATGGGGAAGCGGCACAGGCCTTGACATAACAAAGTCTGGAATTTGTTGCGAAAGTAACTGGGCATGATAGGAAATGTTAAAGTGGGGAATAACCTGTTCTGGTTCTTGTGAGATGGGCCCTTTTGAGAAAGCCCAAAGGATGAACTGTGGGCAGATGGGGTGTATGAGCTGGTGTGCACCCATGTGGTGAGTGTGTGTGTGTGTGTGTGTGTGCATGCCCCTAACGAGGGCCAGGGACACAGGCTGAAGGACCTTCCTCCCCACATTCGGGAAGGGCTCAGATCCCCCTTTACCGGTGGTTCTCCCCACGTGGCCACACACTGACTTCACCGGGGTCGCTTTAAAAGCACGCTGACGCAGGCCGGCCCCAGACCAGATCCGGTCGAGTCTCTGGGAGAAGCCTGGCCACGGGGATCTGTAAGCTCCCGGTGGTTGTAACGTGCAGCCAGCCAGGCCTCTTGGCTGGACCTCTCCTTTCCTGCCTCTGCTCTTAGCTTCAGGCAGGCTGGGCCGGTGGCTGAGGTCTCACCTTCTGGATCAAGCTGGCAAACTGCAGGTTTGCTGACTGCGAGATATTTAGGACCGTGCTGTAGGCATTCTCGCCTCTGTTCTCCAGCACGGCCTCCACTGGGACCCGCCGGCGTGTGCTCTCGATGATGAAAACCGTGGTGTCGAAGGACAGCGTGTAGGCGGAGCAGTCCTGCACAGTCTTGCCCAGCACCCTCTGGCAGTACTCCCTGCAGGACAGAGGCCACCAGGGGCCAGACGCATGGAATGGGGAGCTTGGGGCCAGGCCTCTCTATTCTACTCAGTGTATTTCCCTTTTGGCTTTGGCTACCAGGAATCTCAGAGCTAAATGTAGAGACTATCTTGATGAGTAGCCTAGATGGCTAGACAGTTTGCTTCTTCATCCTTCTACAGGGTTTGTATGTGTTATTTCTACTTAATGTATATGTCTTCTAGCTCAATCATATCATAGTTGGGTAAAGGTCGAGGACGGATTATTTGAAAATAAATGACATAAATTTCAAAGAGGGCATTTTTCATTATTTTTCCTTGTATGCTACTTTTTTTTTTCTCTCTTCCAGGAGATCGTGGGCACCCTGCTCATCCTCTGCTAGTCTCCTTAGCTCAAGCAGTCTGTCACTGGGCCACATAGGTCACCTAGTTGGGGGCTTGGAGGATGAGCAACCAGGATCACAGGTCCTAGTCTCCACCTTTCATCTGTTTGGTAGTAAATACTCCAGAGAAAGGAGTTCTTTTCCTACACGAAGTTTGAGGAGATTGGATAGATGAGTACGTTTCATTTTGCCGAGAAAGTCACTGAGGCCCAGAGAGGGAAAGGACGTGCCTGGAGTCACAGAGGAATTAGAGGCAGAGCCTGGACTAGACCCAGGCTCCAAGTTCAGTATTTGATCCATGCTGCCTCCAAGCACGATATGCAGGCAGACATCCAGTGCCCAGGGAGTCTCGGATCTACTAGCAGGGAAGGAAAGGAGGCAGGGCTGGCGGGGGGGAGGCAGGGAGGAGCCAACTCACATGGCTGTGGGCAGATCACTGCGGGCATCCAGCAGGAGGTCAGGGACACAGTGCTCGTCCTCACTGCAGCCATTCCAGAAGGGCACCTGCACCAGGGAAAGCAGGGCGGGGTGGCTGGTTGTTCTCTTTGCTGTCCCCCAGCCCTCACCCCCGCAGCACGCAGGCTCCTCTCTCCACCACACTAGACATGGGCTTTGTCTCGTCTGCCCTCCTCACAGACACCACCCTGCCGTTTCTCATGCTTTTGCATAGATACTCCCTTCTTTAAAACATGGTTCAAAACTCAGCTCCTCCTGGGTGTCTTCCCAGTTCTCAGCCGAGCCGGTAGCACAGAATACCCACCCCCGCCCAGCAGGTTTTTACGGATCACCTGTGTTGGGGGCAAGGTCTTAGGTACTGGCAGTACAGGATGAGGAAGACACAGCCTCCACTCTCAGCTCATGGGGAAGAGTTGTGTGTGAATAAATAATAATAGCGTGAAATGTGCAAGAAAAAAATATTAGAAATCTGTGTGAGGAATAGGAGAGGCAGAGGGGAGGAAACAGTTATTTTGGCCTGTACATGGTCAGAGAAGCCTTCAGGGAAGAGACAGTATGTGAGAGTTCTGAAGAATGATCATGTTGGCTGGGTGACCAGAGGGACAGGAAAGTGGAGGGGAAGGACGAGCCTGTGCAAAGGTCCTGAGGCATGAAGCAGCATGGTGAGTTTGGGAAATGCTGTGTGGTTTAGCGTTGCTGCATTTTGGGGTGGAGAGATGGGTGGGGTCCGTTCTTATAGGGCCTTGGGGTCGTTCCTTGCAGCTGACAGGAATCACTGACCGCTGTAGGCAGGTGAGTATCCTGTCAGACCTGCATACTGAAGGCTCCCTCTGGCTGCTGTGGGTGGATGGACTGGAGGGATCAAGGCTAGAGTCAGGGAGACCACTGAGGATGCTGCTTCAATGTTCAGGCAAGAGATGATGACGGTGTTGGAGGGGTACTGGGTGTGGAGGGGAGACAACAGGTTAGGACCTCCAGAGGGGGGTTCCATAGGACCAGGAGTTCATCAGCGCTAAGGGGCCAAAGGGCCCAGGATGTTGGACGAGGTCCTTTGTTAGTGTCTGGAAGGAGGGCTGCACCATTCGTTTATAAACACAGGGGTGAACTTGAGTTCGGTTCTGTGGTCCTGTGGTCATTCCGGGTCAAAGTGCTCAGCAAGCAGGTGGATGTTCAGGTCTGGGGCTGAGGAGTACAGCTGTCCCTCCCAAGGATACAGCTGAAACCCAGGGGAAGGGAAACGGAGCCCACCCCGATCGGAAATTCATGGACTTTTCTCAACAGTGAGCTCCTGAGCCGCACTCAGACCCACACGCCACCCCCAGCTTCCCCATCGCGTGGTGGATTTGCAGCTAGGAGCAGGCACGAGGCAGAAGGGGCAGCAGAACCATACAAAGTAGGGCAGAGTGAGGCCATCTGCGAAGGGACAGAGTGGAAAACACTGGTAGCCCTCTGGGGCCTCACTGTACCCTTGCACCCATGTTCACCTCGGTGACTCTGAGTCTCCGATAAGATGCCCCCACCCCCCCCAGCTTCCTGCTTACAAAGGCTGCAAACTGTCCTCTAACCTTCAGAAACATTTCCATCCAGTTGATCAGAAGGAATAATTAATGTGATAAGCGACTGCTACACTCAGTGATGTGGAAGAGCTCATTCCCCCAGGAAGCAAGATACTGCAGCACTAGAGAAGTACTGGGCGCCGAGCGGATGCTAAATAAGAATTTGCAGAAGAGCGCTGGGCAGATGTTTCTCATTTGCTAGAAACTGGGGTCGGGGGGAGGCTAGAAATCCAGATTAACAAGATTTTTGGGAAATTTAGCTGCTACCTGAAGCCCTCGATAATAGCGCCCAGATTATTCTTCCTTTTTAATTTTTTTCTCTTTACACATTCCCTTCAGCCTGCCTTTTTCACTGTTGTCCCTTGGTTATACCATCGGCTCTCCTGGAGTGGAAGGCCACTCTTCCCATCCCTGCAGATCTGAATCTGGTCTATTCCTTACGGTCCGGCCGAAAGCTTCTCTCTCCAGGAAGTCTTCCTGGCCTGTCATCTGGTTGCTCAGTGACACCTCCGCTGAGCTCACTGCCCTCTTAGCCCTGGCCTCCAGCCCTAACTGGCAGCCTGCACGGGGTTCTTCAGTGTGGGGCGGAGCTAGCCCTGTGCATCAGTCTGCACCGTGGGCTCCGACTGGCTCGGGGATCTCAGGGCAGGTTCTCGTTCATTCGCCCTAGTGGCTCTGCAATTCCTGCGGTGGGAGACGGTAGTGACTCTGTGCACCAGCTCACTGACGTCTCCAGCTCTGCAGTCCGTCCCCCACCCCCCTTCTCGGACTGTATAAGACAGTCTCTCCTATATGCTGGTGATGAGGAATCAGGGGAAAGGATGGCAGGTGTGAGGGTCCAGGGCTGGGGGGTGGGGTCTGGGGGGGGCGGCGGCGAATGGGAGCAGAGAGGGGATTTTGGAAGTCTTGCTGCTCCTCAAAGTTCAGGAATTAGGTATGAATTTCACGAATTTCGCCTGCTCTCCCAGCACGGCTCAGGCAGAACTAAACTGTGGCCTTTTCTGTGAGTGGGATGTCTGTGGAGTTGCAGGTGGGAGGAGCACGTGAGTGTTCCATACCAGAAAGTTCGGATGCTCCTAGAGCCAGGGATCAGGAGCTGCGGTTGAGGGGGCCGGACCAGAGCTGCAGAGCGGGCTCTAGGTGGTTGACTCCCATGCTCTCGCCCCCAGTGCCCTCACCTGTACATGAGGGAGGTGGGCGATCAAGACCTCAGGTCCCTTCTGGTTCTGTGATTCTCCAGAACATTCCAGTGCTCACCCTATGCTGGTGATACGGGGGATCCTCGAACAGGAAAGGCCCCGTCCTTCCCCTCAACTTGTTCACAAGTTGACAGCGGTAGGGGAAGATCTCCTTTGTACCCAGGGCGCTCTGGATCTGGGCTTTGGGGAGGAGGTGGGGGTCGGAGGGACGGAGCGCCCAGGTTGTGTGCCCTGTATGTGGGGATGTACCGAGACTCGCAGGGTGGTGGGCCAGCCGTCGTCCAGCACGGGGCCGTGGTCGGGATCCTCCAGGGAGTACTCCACCCAGAAGGTCACTGGTTTCACGTAGTCAGCAGTGTCCTGTGTGGGAGGAGATGAGGACGGGGTGAGGGGGCACGGAGCACCTGTTTCTGGGCCAGGACATGGAGAGAAAATTTCCACTTCCCCCAGGTGGGAGGGCAGCCTCCCTGCCGGCCTCAGGATGAGGCCAGGATAGAGGAACGTGCTGGGTGGCTGGAGGTTCAGCAAGCCCCCGCTCAGCCTTCAAGGCTGGGCACCCCCCCCCGCCCCCCGGCGCCTTGGCCTCCCGGGAGCCAGGCAGCACCCACCACCCCGTGTGCACAGCCCACTTCTCAAGTGGCATTTGGAATATCTCCGTGTGCCGGTCTCTGTCCTTCAGAAGCTCCTGGCCCAGCCCCAGCACTGTGCCAGGGTACACGAGCGCGCTGAATCAATGAATGACCAAATGCGTGAGCAAAACAGGGGTTGTTCCAGTGGGTCCAGGTGTGGAGGGTAAAGAAGGGGATGCTTAGAGATGCCTACAAAATCTGCGTGGAACCCAAATCCTGACGTGACTGGTTTCTTTGTATCAAGGCAGTGGCTCTCAAACTTGAGCTTGTATCAGAATCCGCGGGGGCGGGGGGGAGGCGCCTGGGTGGCTCAGTCGGTTGAGCAACTGCCTTCGGCTCAGGCCATGATCCTGGAGTCCCGGAATGGAGTCCCGCATCGGGCTCCCTGCTCGGCAGGGAGTCTGCTTCTCCCTCGGACCCTCTTCCCTCTCGTGCTCTCTATCTCTCATTCTCTCTCTCAAATAAATAAATAAAAATCTTTAAAAAAAAAGATTAGTTTCTAAAAAAATAAAAAAAGAATCCTCAGGGGGCGCCCAGCAACACAAAGAGGGCTGAGCCCACCCCCAGAATTGCTGATTCGGTGGGTCTGGCGTGGGGCTTGAAAACATGCATTTCTGGGGCACCTGGGTGGTTCAGTGGGTTGGGTGTCTGCCTTCGGCTCAGGTCATGATCCCGGGGTCCTGGCATCGAGCCCCGTGTGGGACTCTCTGCTCAGCAGGAAGCCTGCTTCTCTCTCGCCTCTGCCCCGCCCCCCCGCTTGTGCGCATGCGCTCTCTTTCTTTCTCTCTCGAATAAAATCTTTAAAAAAAAATGAAAAGAAAACAGGCATTTCTAACAAGTTCCCATGTGATGGGGCTGCTGCTGTCAGTCCGGGGGACCACACTTTGAGAACCGGTACACAAACACATCAGAGGGGGCCACATATTAACAGACATGAGGACTTCCCACACCTGCTCATTTTTCTGCTTTTTGGCCTTTGAACTACAGGGGGCAGGTGGTGGGCTCTGAGTGCTCCTTGCTTGTGCCTCCAAGGCTGGAGCTGTGGCCTGGGTATCTGGAGTTTCTGGATGGGGCAAAGTTCTCACCCTCTTCCTTATCTGTAAAACCAGACCCCAGGTCCCTGCTGGTTCTCCACCTCCACCAGGCTGGCCACCCTCGGTTCCTCCTCCCAGCTCACCCCCACCAAGGGTCGGTCTTACCTGGTCCTCAGTGCTAGCCAATGCCTGCTTCAATCCCCTCTAGCCACGGCCCGTGCGGGCTGACCCCTCCCTGTTCCCTCTGTGAGACCTCACCGAGCCCACCTCTCCCCTCAGATTTCACCCCCTGCTAAAGGAACAGTGAGCATCTGAGCACTGGGGAAGAAGGGATTTTGGAGAGGGTACCACGAGGCGGTAGATAGTGTGTCCCAGTAGCCTTTTCTCTGGGGCGTGAGTATGGGGCGCCCAAGGTCCAGGACACTGCACCCTGGCAGGGCCTCCCGAGGTGTGCTGGGGGCTCGAAACCAGCCTGGTACCCGCTGAGCACCTCCTCCAGCTCTGTGTCCCCTTTCTGTGTGAGCTTGTTCCCTGGTGGTGGGGCTGCTGGGTGTCAGGCTCACCAGGACATGGAAGTTGATCCGCTCACAGTGTTCCTGGCCGGAGGAGAGCAGGACGGCTCTGTTGGTATATCGGTCCCCACCCTCATCCAGGTGGGCCCGCGGGGCGTACCGCCTCTCATCCATGGTAGCATTATACCTGATGCCTGGAGGTGGGAGAGGGCAAAACCAGGAAGGTGGAGCCATAGGTCCACCCAAGACTCTTTGCCTGTCTTCTAAGAGAGCCTACTGAAAGCCAGCCTCCTCCAGGAAGCCCTCCAGGCTGGCCAGGGAAGAGCTGCTCTTCTCCCCTCATGAGGCCTAGTGTGGGTGGGAAACTCCCATGCAGAGAGTGAGTGAGAAAGGAGAAAAAGAAGGAAGCAAAGAGAAGAGAGGCGGAAGGAGGAGGAGTGAAGAGGGGGCTGACAGCGAAGGGAAAGAAAAAGAGGAAGAAATGCAGGAGAAATGAATGGGTGAGGGGCCAGGGCGTTGCCCTCATTTGAGTCCCCGCTGGAGTCCTGGACCTCCCCAGCTCTCCCTTCCTTCACCTTCCTGGGCTTGCCCTTGCCTCTGGAATCCTGTCAGGCCTGGCTCAGAGCCCCCACAGGCCGCAGTTCCCACCCATGAGCCCCTCCCACCGGCTCCTCGAACCTAAGACTCCATTCTGGGGTTTAAAGCCTGCAGCCTCCTTCCCTTCCACGGGGCTGATCTTTAGCTACATCCAGGAAAGGCTTCTTCTCTTCGCCTGGACCCCAGCCAGCCCTCTGGGTGCGCCAGGGCCTCGCGCCCTTCTCCTTTTCCAGATAGAAGGTGAAAGAAGACTGCAGCCGTCCAGGCTGGCCTTTCTCTCATGCCCACCCGCACCCCCACCCTTCTGGTGGGCCCTGCTCCTTGGCTAAGAAGCTTTCGGAAATCCCAATTTCCTGCCCCGGGCCCAGTCCCATCCCAGAACCTGTGTGGCCTCGTGGGCCCAGGGCTGCCGCCTGGGCTGGAAGTGATGATCCTCAGAAGGACCCGCCCTGCCGCAGCCGCGTGCCCACTCTGAGCCGTGAGCGCTGAGACTGGGGGCTGCGTCTGTCTGACCCCCCTGTTTCCTGCTCCCTCTCCTGGCTCTGCCTCTTCTTCTGCATCCAGGCTGCCCCAGTTTGCTCCACTGCTCCCAGTTCCCTGTTCCGACCCAAACTTTGCACCCCAACTATTTCCTTCTTCCCCTGGCCTCTCCCTTGTTGCTCACGGCTGCTCACTGCCACCCTCACCCTGGCATGATGTCCCCTTTTGGCTCCTTGGAATTGGATCGGCAAGTGCAGTCATCAAGGTGGCTCAAGGTGCGACCTGGCCCTTAAAACCCATTTCAGCAGAAGCTCAGGTTTTGAAGCTGAGCAATCCCAAAGGCCACAAGGGAGATCGGGGCTGGGGGCTGGGAGGGGCCTGTGGGGGAGGGGCCTGGTTTACCGACTGTGTCCGTTTCGAAATGGGGTGCCAGGAAAACGGGCGTGAAGCAGAGGAAGGCGGCCAGGCAGGTGGCGTCCCTGCCGCTGCGTTTGCAGTCTCTATGGAAGATGTTGATCTTGGACGGCTCAAAGTGGAGGCTGGCATTGATCTGAACCACCGGACGGGACCTGGAGCGGAGGAACGGATAGCTGGGGGGTGGGGCGCTCCGCTGCCCCTGGGACCCGGAGAGGGGGGAGGGGGAGAAGGGGGGGCCGCAGATGGAAATGGAATCGGCAAACCTTTGGGGGAGGGCAGAGAGGGGTCCCAGATGTTAAAGTTTGTGCAGAAAAGTGACAGGTGGGTGGAGGGCAGGCACCTGGCCCCGGAGGCAGCCCTTCATCATGTCCTAGCCGCTGTATTCCCTGCAGACCACACTGACTTCCTTATGTCTCCCCATTCCATCCCTGGACATTCATTAGAATAATCGGGAGAGTTTTAAGAAATCCTGATGCCCAGTTTGCCCTCCAGGTCAAATCAAATCAGAATTGGCATTAATATGTCTGAGGCCATGCTTCTCAAATTTTAATGTTCGCACGTCTCTGGGGCCATGAGGGGATCTTTAAAATGCAGATCCTGACTCTATAGGTGGGCACAGATTCTGCATTTCCAGTAAGTCCTCAGTGATGCTGTTCCTGTTGGTCCGGGACCAAACTTCGAAGAGCAAGGTGTTAAAGCTCCCAGGGGATTGCAATGTGCAGCCAAAGTGGAGAACCACCCCCTGTTGTAGAGATTCCCCACCTATCCACCCGACACTACCCTATGGTTTTCAAACTGGGCTGCCCATTGGAGACAAATACCTGGGGAGTCTTTAAAGCTTACTGCTGCCTGGGCCCCTTCCCTAGAAATTCTGCTTTAAGTGGTCGGGGTAAAGCCTAGGTAGGCTACAAGCTTTGCAAAGCTCCCCAGTTTGGAACAACATGGATGGACCTAGAGGGTATGATGCTAAGTGAAATAAGTCAGACAGAGAAAGCCGAATACCGTATGATTTCACTTATATGTGAAAAATCTAAAATCTAAAAAAACCCTAAAAAATCTAAAAAACAAAACAAACGAATAAACAAACAAAAAGCAGAATCAGACCTATAAACACAGAGAACAAACCGAAGGTTCCCAGAGGGGACGGGGTGGGGGGATGGGTAAAGTGGGCGGCAGGGAGTGGGTGGTACAGGCTTCCATCTGTGGAATGTCTAATTTATGGGGGTGGAAGGCACCGCATAAGGAATATGGTCATTGATACTGTAATAGCGTAGGGTGACAGATGGTAGCTACTTTGGCAGTGAGCACAGCATATCGTATAAACTTGTTGAATCACCATGTTCTCCACCTGAAACTTATGGAACATGCGCATCACCTATACTCAAATCGAAAGAAGGAAAAAAAGAAAAGGAGAAAAGCTCTCCAGATGATCCTAATGCGGCAGTCTGAGATCCATGGGGTTTGAACACAGAGTCTTCCCAGAAGGTTCTGGCCCATAATTTCATCACCACTAAGGTAGCACTTAGGTTGAGACCTCAGAAGCTAGATCTCCAACCAATCCTCTGCGCCAGACTGATTCTCTTGGCTGGGGGGGGGGGGCGGGGGTGTGCGTCTCTTGTTTCCAGTAAAGGACTCAGTTTCTGTGTCACCCTACCGACCCGCTAGGCCATGTCTACCTCCTACCCTGGGTCCTGGACAGCTGCCTTGGTTCCTGGGTGTTGGAACGACACTGGGACTACCTTTACCACCCCAACTGCTCTTGCTGCTGCCACCACCCCCAAAGATCCACGAACCCCCACATGCGGAGCAGACCTTCAGAGAGAGGCGGTGGTACTGGTGCATGGCCCAGCGCTGCCTTTAGAGGGCCAGGGGGTGCCATGGGGGACACAGGGACCCCCCCAGACACGCTGCTCTCCCTCCTCCCCTACAGTGCTCTGTTGCAAGAAACAGAGGTGTGTCCCGCCTCGCCGGAGATCCCGTGAGGGAGCAGCGGTTCCGACGGTGAGGCCCCAGCTGGCTCAGGGATGCCCCCCACTCACACTGCTCCTCTTTTCTGCTCCAGCGTCCTTGCCCCCCACTTCTGCCTCAAGGACGAGGCTCCTCCTGAAGCGTTATGCATGAACCCTAGTCTCAGGCTTTGTTTTCTAGGGAACCCGGGCTAAGACATCTCCCAGCCGGGCTGTGATATTTTGGACGGCTGAGAACATATCCACTCCTTCACTCTCCCTGGGAAGTCCTGGGATACCTCGGTTTCATGCCTTTTAAAAGTCGTATGAAAAATATGACTGTGCTTATATAAACTTATATGCGGGCGGGAAGAGATTGGTAGGAAAAAAAGCCCGAATTCTAATAGCACTAATGTTAAGCTGATGAAACCCTGAACGATCTTTTCTTTATCATGTTTCTTTAAATTATTGGATTTTTAATGAAAAATAGCTCATCAACGTAAATGAAAAGGTAAACAGGTTTTTTTTGGCTCGAAAAGTAGCCAACACATCCCATGGTAAAATACAGGGACTTTTAGAAAGCTCTCTCTCTCTTTTTTAAGCTGTAGACTTTAATTGCTAAAGAAAGCCCCCACGTGCGGATATATGGCAAGTATCTGATGGGATGGTGCAGAGATGAGGCCCTGGAAAAGGAAATGAGGAGTCCGGAGGGGTTTGGAGGAAAGAGATCTCTGTATGGCAGAAACATTCTGGGGAGAAGGGAGATCCGTCCAGCCGATAAGAATATCCTCAGCCTGTCCTTTAAGGAGTCTGAAAAGCTGAAGTGGAAGCCAGAAATTTTAGGCCAAATTCTAAGAGGGGCTTTTGGATACTTGATTGCTCTAAAGTCTTAGAACGCTGTTGGGAAGAGGGATTTGGACTCCAAAACAATTTACAACGATTCCTCAGAAAGGAAATGTGTCATCACGAGAGGATAAGAACAGGGTGAGTTGGGTTGACAATGATTAAAGAAAGGGACAAAGGTCCTAAAGCATATCGTTAAAACCAGGTGTCCATCACGACCCTCAGAAGAGCCCGAGAGCCAAGAGAAGCAGGAGAACCAACCACAAAATCACAGCGTTTCCCAGGGCGCCCACCGCCAGGTCGACCAGCCCATCCTCGTTGAGGTCCAGTTGCCCGTGGATGCTGCAGCCAAAATACTGGAGGCTGGGAGCCAGGTCAGAGGCGGCGATTCTCTGCAGGAAGTGGGAAGAGAAAGCTGGGTGCCAGCGCTGTTGGTACAGGGCAGGGCAGGGTGATCCTCAGGGAAGCTACGATTGGGAGCATCGGAGAGAGCCCATTTGGAACCATCGGGAAGCTTCCCAGCCCAAAGCTATCCCCTCTCCTGGTCTGTGATGGCACCCACCCTCCAGGCATCCTTTCAGATTAAGATATTGTGTCTTAAAAGCGTTCCCCGTTAAGGGTAAGTCCCTGTTACTTGGCAGGTACCACCCCACCCCCGGCCCTGGCGTCTCTGACCGTGGTGTATTAGACCACCACCTTACTAAGAAAATACGTAGGCAAAAAGGATTACCCCAAGGGCATGGGACCTGAGACGGGTCCCTCTTGAGGGGAGCAGGGTTTCCAGCGCTTGGCATTTCCAGAGAAGAGCAAGGCCACGTGGAAATTTTCCACTCGCAGTCAACCTCATGCGTGCGTGTGTGGGGCCGGGGGGTGGGGAGAGTGAGGTTGGGGTCCCTGAGGTTTCGTTTTTGCGGGGGAGACAAAGTTAAGCAGGGAGAGGGTGCCCACCACAGGGGTGATGGGAACAACGTCCCGAAGACAAAAGCACCCATTTCGAAATCCCAGCTTGGGGCAAGTAGAGCTAGGACAGATTGGACTCCTTCCCTGCAGGACACAGAAGAGACTCCCACACGGGATGCCCGAGCCCCAGTGGCTAGGACGCCTGGGCCAGCTCCAGCCCTTTACTAGGGCGCCTTACCTGCTTCGGCATCTTTAGGAGGCTGGCTTGGAAGCCATGGAAGATGTAGATGGCTCCTCTGTGGCTGTCCTCCAGAGGGGCTCCCACCACCACGTCGTTGTAGGAATCTTGATTGAGGTCTCGAACCGAGGCGATGGAGGACCCGAATCGGGCGTTCTGGTAGTTGTGGGAATCCTTCAGCGTCCCGTTATAAACAAACCGGTTCTGCAACACCAGGAGTGGGACAAGGCTCAGGGGGATGAGGCAAGGGCCAGCAGCACCCTGTCTCCACCCCACCGTACCCCCAGAATCCCCTCTCTGGCTACCTAAGCCCAGCGACAGAGGAGGGTCCTGCTGTCGCCGGCCTGGCTCAGCAGGAGGGCACTGGCCTCCCTGGGGTGGCCCTGTTTCCCTCACGGACACCCGAGTGAAGGCAGGGGCGAGGTGCCCCCCGCCTCAGCGGTACCTGTCTCAGGTTGTAGACGTACACTCGGCCCCGCTCTCGGCCCTCGCTGAAGTACATGGGGGCGCCCACAAGCAGGACATCAGTCACCCCGTCGCCGTCGATGTCCACCGAGGTGATCTCACTCCCGTAGTAGGAGCCTATCTGCAGCACACGGATGGGGGGGCAGTGGGCTGGGCTGTGCGGGGAGCCGGGAACACCCTTCCACTACGAATCTGGTCCTCCCCTTCTCACTGCCCCCCACCCCGGCCCCCGCTCCCCTCCCCTCCCGTGGAGTGGGCACTCACCTGTTTTCACTGGGTGCCACCCTGCCCTTTTCTCCTTCTGTCATCCACCCCTCCCCCCTTCTTTCTTTCCATTGGTTAATTGTCTTGATTGCCATTTGCTCTGTGAGCAACACAGTCTCATGGCAAAAATGAGCAATATCAGAAAAAGCTATGAAGAAGATAAAAGTCACCCATCGTCCCAACATCCAACTAGAACTCCCACGAACGTTTGAGTGTACTTTTGTCTAGTCTGTTTTGTCCAGAGTGTGTGGGGCTTGTTTTTGTGTGTGTATACCATTTTACCCTTACAATCTGGGGTCGTAATATATATATAGCTTATATCTGATTTTTTATTATTATTTATTTATCTGACAGAGAGAGACACAGCGAGAGAGGGAACATAAGCAGGGGGAGTGGGAGAGGGAGAAGCAGGGTTCCCGCGGAGCAGGGAGCCCGATGTGGGGCTCAATCCCGGGACCCTGGGACCATGACCTGAGCCGAAGGCAGACGCTTAACGACTGAGCCACTCAGGCGCTCCTTATATCTGATTTTTAAGTCAAACAATGGATCATGAGCAGTGTCTCCCTGATGTGTCATATTTTTTCTTACAATCTGATCACTGGTGGTTCTGTAATATTCCAAACCACGTATGGGCCACATGTGTATAATCAATCCTCTAATGGGACATTTGGCTTGCTTCAATGTTTAATATTACGAAGAACTCTGGGATTAGCACCTCAGAAGGGGAATTATGGTTTCTTTTCAGCATTTGAGCACCCACTGAGCTCCTCACCCCCTTCGGGTGCCGTGCCCCCCACTTCAGTGAGGGTGCCATCCACTTGTTCAGTCTGAAACCTGACGGTCCTCCCCGGTCCCACTGCCACCTCTCCTACCTGCAGACTCCCAGCAAGCCCTGCCTGATGTGCACCAAACTTGCCTTGAGTCTGCCTACTTCCCTCCTCTGCTGCTCCTTCCCTGGGTGAGGCGCCTGCCGAAAGACCCCCTGCCTCACCCTCCAGTCCACCCCCACGGGCAGCCAGAGTGGCCGCCGGCAGCTGACCACACCACTCCCTTGCTCTTGCAGAGGGTGCAGGGGGAAGTCCAAATTCTTCAGTGTGGCCCTGTTGGACCTGCCTCCCTCCCCCACTAGCCTCTGTGTCCCCCACCCCCGCCCCCAGTCTCCAACACTCTCTCCGGACATTCCCAGTGATTTCTCCAAAAACCCTGGCTGGTCTGCACTCCTCTTCCCTTCTCCCTCCCTGATAATGTCTACCATCCTCAGGTCACTTCCTGTTAGACTCCCGCCCTGCCCTGCCCTGCCTGCAGTGGGTACCCCTCCTCGATGTTCCCCCACCAGCCCCATACCAGCACCAGTTCCCCCCACGGAGAGTGGGCACTGTGCCTGCTGTGTCCCCTCCAGGCCTGGGTATGATAATAATATAATAAATACAATAAATGTTTATTGGACCAGTGGGTCACTTGGGAAGGATGAAGGAGCCCTTTCCACAGACAAGCCCCGTGTGACACACTTTACAGCCTCAGTTGGCTCTTGTGAGCCTCTTGCTACCTGAGGAGAGATCACTGTCCTCATTTTACAGGGAACGAACTGAAGCTCAGCGAATATGAGTCGCTTGCCCAAGGTCAGAAGGCTGGCCACAGCCAAACTGGGTTGAAACTCCAGTCTGACACCAGAGCCCATGACACTCCCTTGCCCAGCCCCCTCCTGGCTTAGGGTGCTTTCAGGAGAAATCTATCTGCAAGTATTAAAAGCTTTTAACTGAGGAGTGAGATAGAAACACAGAAGAGAGTACAACAGAAATCTCAACACAGGGGTGGGCAAGGGAAGAGCTATCCCTGCGTAAGGTAATTAGGAGGCAGACAGAGAGCAAGTAAGGGAGGCGGGAGGGAGACTTTTGTCTAAATATGTGGCCTCAGCTATGTGGGTCATGGTGATTTGGAATCCACTTAATTTAGCTGCCTTCAGCACTGCGGTTTCTCGTTCGGATGTTGGAGGCAGAACCGGGCAGTAAAAATGTCATAAATTCATCACCAAATTCCCTCCAGCTCTCAAGGTCTAGCCTTGGATTCCCGGAAGAGCTGGCCCCGGGCAGAGTGTGGGCAAGGCGGGATGGAGGCCAGGGGACAGAGCAGGGCCCTGGTCTGCCAGTGCCCTTGAGATAGGAAGAAGAATGGTGGAATGATGGCTTCCTGCAGCTAGAGGGATTTAGGTTAGACCCCGTGAGGAGCTTGTCCTCAAGGTCACAGGCCAAGGGCAGTAAAAGGTGCAAGAGAAAGGGCTGTTCTTGGCTCTGCAGAGCAGAGGGTGAGCTGGGAATGATGGTAAGGGCCTGGCTAGGGCCCAGCTCAGGCCCCGGAGACCATGGATGCTGAGTGCTGCCACGTGGGGTGCGTGCATGTGTGTGTGTGTGTGTGTGTGTCTGCACGTGCTGGTTTTGAGGTTGTCAAGGGTCAGCAGGTAGCATAAAGCAGAGAGAGAGAGTCCTGGGTTCTAAGCCTGACCCAGCCTTGAATCCACCATGTAACCTTGGAAAAGCTCTGTGGCTTCTCAGGACCACCCTCTTCCTTGGCTGTTGGAATGACTTGGGTCAGAACCCTGTTTTCTGGGCTTTCCCCCACCAGTGATTCTTATAGCTTTGCAGCTGGTATTCATGACCACCGGCCACAAGACTGAGCAGCACAGTGTGGTTCCCACGGCAGCCCAGGCAGGGCCATGGGGTTGGCGGCTGTCACATTCTGTACTGTTCCCATTCCAGGAAGGGGAAAGAAGCTGGCGGCGTCCTGGAGAACCCAGGGGGCCTCGCTGTGGGTGGGTGTGCTGTGGGCAGTGTGAAGGTGCCTTGAGGAACATGCCTGTCCCTCACGATGCCTAGGGGCTCCCGCAGCCCGAGCTGGGAAGCCAGAGCTGAGCTGCTGCCTCTAACCCTGAACTCTGGATGCGAACACAGAGAAGCTGGCTGTCAGGGGCAGAGGTCAGGCACCAGAGACAAGAGGTCCATGTAACGGAGGCAAGCAAATTCTCCCAGGCTCCCCTTGCTGCAGCAAGGACCAGGGCCTGGCTTTCTGGGGAAGGGACAGTCCAGCTTCAAGGCTGGTAGGAAGGAGGTGTATGCTCCCCCCTGCCCCCCAACTAGGAAGGATGTCTGGGAGGAATTGCTGAGCTCCAGAGTCCTGGGCAACCCAGCCTTTTCCATACACCCTCCCAGTGCGCCCCTGTCCCCAGACTCTCCCTTCATTACCTGCTCACCCCGCAGGGCCTGGTGGATGGTGAGACTCCTATTGTTGTGCATGGTGAACAGGATGGCTTTGCCGGTATGGTTGAACCGGGGTGCTCCAGCCACGTACACCCACCCCTGCCTGGAGGACACGACCGACGTGACTGTGTACCCTGCCACAGGAGGAAACAGGCTGGTCTCTGCCCCAGGTCCTCGGTGGTGCCTGAGGACCGGCCTGCTCGGGCAATGCATTCAGGGCAGGCTGAGCGATGTGAACTCGCAGGGTGGTAATTCCTAGGTACAACTTGGGGGGCCTGGAAGAGGCAGGGTTCAGGATGGGGGGGTTTGGAGGGTGGGCAGAATTCATGCACCCCTCCTCCCCCTGCTGGAGGGCACCAAGGAAGCCAGGGGCGGGGGGGGGGGGACGGTGGCTACTAAAAGGTATTGCTGACGCGGAACGTGCATGTCCCCTCCTTCGCCAGAGTCCCGAGTGCACAGGGGAGCACAGAGGAGGGAGGTGGTGGACCCGAGCTGGGCTTCATTACATATTGGGCAGGCTTTGTTTTTGATCCCCACCAATTGTCTCTCTCAAGGGCCAGCCAGTGTCATCCTCATTACTATAACCTGCTGCTAAGCGGTTCGTGGAAAATTAGAGCATTGCCTGCCAGGTGTAAGGGGCTGCTCCCCTGGGCATTGACATGGGGTCCCAGCGACATCTGCAGCCCCAGAACTTTGCAGACTCAGAGGAAGGAGCCCCTAGCCTCCTCTCAGTCCCACACATACGATACGCAAGTGAGGAGGAAATGGAAACCAGGGGATCTTCTGGAAAGGCCACCACTCCGTGTCCTCGGGTTGGCTTTGCCCGATCGCTGTGACTCTTGATGCACACACAGCACCCATGAGGCGTGCAGAGCCTAGAGCCCCACTTTCTGCCAGATGGCCTCAGATACTGGACCCCAGTTTTTAGATGCCTTTGTTGGCAGTTCCTGGGCTGTTTCTGGCAAACGATGTCTCCTTCTGCCGTGTGTGTGTGTGCGTGTGTGTGTGGGGGGAGGTGGTAACCGAGGTAAGTTCGGTTCCACTGGTTGCTTACACAGTGGCTGCAGGATGCATAGACGAGTTGATTCGGTGGCTGGGAGCATGGGTGCAGTGGGGTGAGCTACTCTGGTTCCAGACACAACATTTTTGACTCTTAGAGGTGTGTTCTGGGGAATGGGGCTTGAAAGGTCAGTGAAGCAGGATATTGCATAGGCTGAGATGGCTGTGTATTAACCCAACCATAAATATATGAGGGTAGGGTGGGATCAGCCTTACAGAGTGGGGCTGAGCTTGTTTGCTTGCTTGCTTTCTTTCGTTTTCTTTTTTTTGGGGTGGGGGAAAGAGAATCTCCATGCTCAGCATGGAGCCCCACTTGGGACTTGATCTGCCGACTCTGAGATCATGACCTGAGCCGAAATCAAGAGCCGGACACTTAACTGACTGAGCCACCCAGGCGCCCCACCAAGCCTTCTTTTGAGCCCCCTGTGGCACTACTGAAAATGTTCTCAATTAGCCCTCCCTCAGGGCTTCCTCAGAAGGAGGGACAGTGGTGGGGGGAGGGGCGTGGGGACCGAATGTCCTGGGAGCAGGCACCTCTCAAAGCAGCAAGCAGCATGGGGAACTTCCTGCTTCCCACAGTCTGCTGGCTGTGGCTTCAGTTTCCATGGGGTTCTTTGGCTAGCACGCAGGGCCATCCTGAAAGCTGGACCGACCTCCCAGAAGGCCTGACAAGATGACAGAGGAAGATCCGTGGCCAAAAGTCTGTACAGCTTCCTTGTGTGGAGGCTGAGAGCCTGGCCTCCCGGTCTCCTTCCTCCAAAACCCCTCTCCTTTGGGGCACATAGGAAGGAATCTTCCAGAGATCCCAGACTCTTGGGGATGACCCCCAGAGGGAGGAGGAAGAGAGGAGGCATTCCTTCAGGACCCCCACCCAAGGCTGTGGCTGTGGGTAAGGCAAGATGGTGGGGCCTTGCGAGGGATTTTCAGCTTCGCTCTACCCCACCAGGGTCTCCTGGGAGGAGGAAGACAGCTCTGCTGGGCCAGGAGAGAGGGGGTAGATTCATCCTGCTGCTCCCTCACTCAAACACCTTCACTATCTCCCTACTGCTAGCATGAACAAGCTCCAACTCCTCAACCTGGCATTCGAGGCCTCCAGCCACAGCCTGCTCTAACCTGCCTTCCCCTTCCTGCTGCACCCCTCTGCCCCAGCCTCACCGCTCCACCTCCTGGATCCTGAACCCGCCTAGCACTTTCCACGCCTCCCTCCTTCTCTTGGACCATTTTGGTTTATTCGGACTCTTCCTGCCTCAGAGCCCTGGTATAGGCCCCAGCTCATGCACAGTGGGGGCCGGAGTGTGCTGGCCACTGGACCGAGACCACCCTCGGTGTCCGTCCCACTCACTTGAGCCCTGGGCGCTGATGCTATCTCCCTGATATTTAAGGCTTCACGGCAACTGCTCCACCACCCCTTACTTGGTGCCCCCACTTCCGGCCCAGTGCTGAGCACATGGGAGGAGCACAAACCATCACGACTGATCCGTGTGAGGTGGGCGCTGGCCTTCATTCTTCTGACATCTCTTCTAGTGTTTGGGCATTTGCCAAGGCGGGGGCTCCAATCTCTCCCTCCTTTTCTGTGCTTGCATCTGCACGCTGGCCCCACTTGTGTTATAATTTGTATCTGTGCCCCTGTGTCTGCCCCACCGGCTGAGAAGCGGCTGGAAGGCAGAAGCAGGGTCCCGCTTACTGGGGCACTCAGAAGGCACCGGCCACAGGGGGCGCTCTATGCAGTTCAGGTTTAATATCTGTGGGCCAGGTAGTGTTGGGGGACTTTAGGGACCTACACCTCTCTATTTCCCAGGCAAGTCCTGATTCCAGCATTCTGTCCTGTGTTCAGCTCAGGGTCTCAGAGTTGGGGATGGAAAATGGGGTGACCACCGTGTGGGCAGTGTCACAGGCAAGGTGAGTGGCTGAAGAGCTGAGGGACAAAGGCGGGGATGACATGGAGCATTAGGGAGAGGCCGGACATGTGGACAGATATGCCAACTCCGGGGGGCCCAGTCTCATGGAGGAGTGGGATCCGAGGAGGCATTAATGATGGGTGACCTCAAAGATGGCCGACTTGGCTCAGAGACAATGGGACCCCCCCTGGCCGTTCACCCGCTCCCGCCCTTCACTCTGGCTTGGCCCTTTCAGAAAGGAATCCTCCCTGGCAGCCTTAGCGTGGAGGGTCAGGCTCATGGTTCTTACAGAACTGGAGGTGACTGGGTTCAGTAGGTTAGGGCCTCACACCTGGGACCTATCACCATCGGGCCAACAGTCTGTGGTTCTCTTTAATGTCTGCTTCTGGAGTGCTTAGTGGGAAGTGATTTCTGCCTTGATTGTGAACATTAATACTTGCACTTTGCCTTCAGAGGCAGCTCAGCGTGCTCAAACCCTAGTCAAGGCAGCAAGCTTTAACACCAACAGCTGACCTAGCGTCTAGAAGCATCAGCTGAATTTCAGGTACAGGTGCATTGCTTGTCACTTATTCTACCTGGTTATCAAGAACGTACTGCGGGCCAGGCACAGTGCTGGGTGCGGTGGATACCAGGCTGAAGGGGCAATGGCCCCTGTGCCTGGATTTTCACAGAATATTCACACACAGGCCCCTTGTCTCGTGTGGGGGCAGTTCCGCTGGGGCCCTCCTGGCCTGCTGCCCAGCAGGCACGCTCTGCTCGGGCTCTTACCTAGATAGGCACCATGGTTCTTGAGCTCCTCGGGGAACTCCTTCAGGTAGGACTCTCGGAGAGGAATGACCTTCCCGCCACTGGTCTCCTTCAGCACGGCTCCGTTCCAGTCGTAGGCACCAACGGCTCCCAGCAGAATCCCGTCCTGACATTGGGGAGGGGACACACATCGGCTCACATCCCCCGGGGGCCCCTCGCTGGGAAGCCGCATCCGGGTTCTGCACAATGAAACATGTGCCGGCCACCTCAGGCACCTTCTCCTGTGTTCATTATTTAACGACTTCCAGCCAGGATTCTTGACTTTTGAATGAGCCAAGGACCTTCCACCCTGTCCTTAGCACAAAATGGGTCAAACAAAGGAATGCTCTAGAAATAAACTCCACCTCTAGGCCCCAGCCTCTGTTCCTCTGTGGGCTTACCCCCTCTGTAGGAAATCTCCTGTCGCTCTCCCTTCCTTCCTTCACTCCCTGAGGCCGTGCCCCTGCACTTGGCCTCCTTCCACATTCCTTTGTGGTGTCTGAGTTGCTTCCCTGTGTGTAAATCTTACTTCTTCATTTCTTCAGTGTCTGCTTTGTCCTAGTCACTTGCTTGGTGCTGGGATATTGTCTCTGCGCTCGCAGAGCTCCGAGTACTAAAGAACTGTGCAAATAAGTGGAATAGTTGCAAATTGTGATAAATGCTTTAAGTAAATAGCACAGGGAGGTTTAGGCTAGACTGAAATGGGAGTCAGGAAAAGCGTTTTGAATACGTCATGCTCACCCGGACACCTGGACAGGGAGGGGACAAGTGTGCAAAGGCCCTGAGGCTGGAGAGTCTCGAGGCCTTGGTTTTAAGGAACTGGAAGCGGTTTAATGGTCTGGAGCATGGAATGAGGGGCCAGAGTGACTCTGATGAGACTGGATGGATAAGCCAGGGCCACATCCGTGACAGCCCTCACTCCGAGGAAGGACGCTTGTCTTTAGCTGCAGGGTAAGTGGGTGCTGCAGTGCTTGGATGGGAAGATGGGGGCTCTGGCTCCCTGAGGGGCAGGCTCCCTGTTCCTGACTCCAGGGTCGTCCCCGAGGACTGGGTCCCCTCCCTCTCTGGCTGCCTCTGCACCCTCGCCATCACTACCCCACCTCCTTAAACAGCCCACAGAGCTAGTGGGCACAGAAAGACAAACAGCAAGCACTTAGAAGAGGAAGAGCAGTGACCAGGGACAATGAAGGTCCGAGGAGGTGGTGGAAGCAGGGAGGGCCACCTTCCTGGGCGACCTTGGCGATTCCGGCCCGGGCAGGTGGTACCCCAGCTTTGGGCTGTGAGAGTACTAGCTGGTGAAGTCACCTCTCCCCTGCACTGAACCTCCCTGATCCTGGCTGGTTGGCAGGATTTGAGGTCCCCCCAACCACTCCATCTCCCCGCACCTCCAAAGCGATGGTGCCAATGGAAAAATGTGATTCTGGCCTTGGGACAGTCAAGGCCGTGAGTGAACATGCAGGCAGGGTCACCAGGTGCTGGTCTCACTGGTGCCAGTGGAGGGGGCAGGACCGTGAACCTGAAGGTGACCTTCCATTTCTCATTTCCCAGGGGGCACTTTAAAGACTGAAGTTGATCTTAGATAAGGTTTAAAGAGTTGGAATACTCTGGAACTGACTGTTCAGACAGAATGTTTTTATGACTATAAGTAAGCCGGTCTCTGGAGAGTCTGATATGCTTGGTTGTGTTTAATGTCACACTTTCTAATTAGCTTTTTCCTCCTCCTCTGTATGAGCCTCAGCTTGGGAGTGCCTGACATCTGCCGGGCCAGGATCGGGGCCGGGGCTTCAAAGACTCGCTGCCCACGGTCACCGCCAGCGCTCCTTGAACTTGGGGCATGCTCCCTTCTTTGCAGAGTACTTTCTCATCCAGCCACCCATTTGTGAGAGGCCAGTGGGACAGATGTTCATTATCTGCACTTGACAAATAGCATCCAAGCTTCAGAGAGGGAAAGGGACTTGCCCGAGGCTGCACAGCAAGTCGGGGTAGGGCTAGGACCTGGAGCAGGAGGTGGGTTGGGCAGAGGAGAAAACACCCATGGGCAGCCCCTGGACTCAGGTTCCAGTTTTCCATTGGAACACCCTCTAAGAGGAGAGTGATCTGTGGGCCTCGCCTCTCTCTCTCCTCCCTCTCTCTTCCGGCTGAGTCCGAGTTTGCTACTGCAGGACAGCCTTCTTCCTCCATGGAGAAAATGAGTTTTTGGCTTTGCAGATGACTAGAGGCCTCCACGACGTACTGAGGAAGCCTGGCTCAACTGACATGGCTGGGATTCTGCTGCGGAGGACTGATGCTGACCAGTGGAGCTTGGGGATTCCACTGGGACTTCTGGATTTGGTGGTACTGGGCTGGCTGATGGCTCACGGGCTCTCGCCTTATGCCGTTTTACCCTGGCAGGGGCTACACGCTTGTGCTCCCAGGTGGTGGCCCTTTTCCGAGAGGGGTCTGTTGCTAGGGAGAGCCTCACCGAGGACAGTGGCTGAGGGCTGGCTGGGAGGGCAAGCGAAGGCCACTGGGGCAAACCTCGCTATGGCACTGTCTTTCCCCAGCTCGGGGAGCCTAGACATTTTGAATTTGGAAAAAATCTGGAAGGACAGGGTCCCCCAAAGGGCCAAAGCCTTGGCTGAGGAAGCCAGGCATGCAGACCCAGCTGGAACACGAATAGCAGGGCATTCCAGAGAAGAGCCTCGTCCCATGCTCCGGGCCTGGCACTGGCTCCCTGATTTATGGCTTCCTTCCCCCTGGGGCCACCGGAACTCCCACCACATAGTGCCAGGGTGTGCCCAGGTGGCCTTGCCCATGGACCTTTGGCATAAGCTGACTTTTCTGGTGCCCTGTGCAGAAATGAGGATGCAGGCATGGTCAAGGCCAAGTCCGTACCCTCCCTATAGGCAACCTATACCTGTATTCACTTGAGCATAGCACCTGCCATTGGATTCTGCTAGCTCAGCTCTTAGCTGCCTTTTGCCCCGGCCCCTACAGCAGTCTTGCCTTCCCACCTGAGCTGAAGGCTCCCTGGGCATGTGACCTCAACCAAGTTCCAGCCAGTGTGCGTCCCCAGCCGTGGAAACAGCATAGTCTAAGGCAGTGGTTCCTGAGTTGGGGGCAGCTCGGACCCCGGGCAATATTTGGCAATGCCTGGAACCAGTTTTGGTTGTCAGAGTGGGGGGTGGTGTTGGGGTCAGTATGGCATCTGGTGGGTAATGGCTAGGGTTGCTGCCTACAGTACACAGGACAGTCCCACAGCCAAGAACTGTGGGGCCCAAACTGTCGGCTGGGCTGAGGCTGAGAATCCCTGGCCTGGTGGCTAGAGCATGCCTGGGGTCAGACATCCAGGGTCCCTGTCCTAGCTCCAGAAGGGCTAGCTGTATGATCTTGGGCAAGCTTCTCTCTCTCTCCCTCGCTCCTTCTCTCTCTCTGTTACTCTGTCTCCGCCGCTGCCATAAATCATTTTGCTGTGAGGATTCACATTTTTAATTCTTAGCGTGGTGCTTGGCATCCAATCAGGCCTCGGTATATAGTAGCTCTTCTTATTCTTTAGTTGGTCTAGAAAGCACCGGGGAGGCAGGAGTCAAAGAGGCAGACCTCATGGTCAGGTTGGCGCTGACAGCAGCCGAAGGGGAGGGCCCCTTTGGAGGCCAGGGCAGCCTGGCTGGGGGTGGGTGGTGGTCCCCGCAGGAAGGGGCGGGCAACTGAGGAGGTGGGTGGAGTTAGGATAGGATTTTAAGAAACCCTTACTTGATTTATTAGCAAGTCTCGAAATACACACTTCCAGTTCCAAGCCTCAAGATTCACTTCCAGAAAATACTTTTCAGACATCTGCTCAAAGACTGAGATTCAGAGAGGTTGAATGATTTGTCTGAGGCCACACAGTCAGGCAGTGCTTTCTTCTTGCCCAGCAGTAATGGAATGAGGATACCAGATGCCAACAATTCTTCTTGGCTTCGGATGGGCGGGTGGAGGTAGCTGCTGGTGGTTCCGTGCACTGGCGCACAGACCACCTAGAGGACCCTGAGTACTCTCCTCCTCCCTAGACTCCTCCATGGCTCCCTAGTGCCTGCGTAGCCATCATCAGAGTGGCTGTAGAAGGGCCGAGAGCCCCTCCTAAGGCAAATACATGGTTAAGAGGATGGATTATACTTTCACTAAATGCTCGGATTCTGTCAGAAGATGATTATTTTTAATAAGCCCGAAGTGGAACCTGAGGAAGGGACGAGTGCCAGGAGGTTTAGACGGGGTTGGGCAGGAGACACCCGGAAACAGGCCCTCAGTCTTTCTGTGGAGGGAAGCTCTTCACTGTGCTGGAAATCGGGAGCCAGGGTGACAAGGAGGGGGTGTGGGGAGCAGGGGCCACACGGTACCTGACTGCTCAGTCCTGATCAGAGTGTTGGTGGTCTCTGCTCGGAGGTCCTGGGAACGAGGCCCAGGAGTGGGGTGCGGGGCACCAACGCACAGCCTGAGGGCCTGGGGCTTAGGAAGACCCCCCCCCCCATGAACTGGAAATGATTCCTACCAGCAGGAGTCACTTCTCAACCATCTGGAACAGCAAGCCGGCAGACCTTGGCTCCCATGTCCTGGCCGCACAAGATGGAACCTGAGGACACTTAACTGCCTGGCCTGGCTGGCAGGTGGAAGAATCCACTGTTTAGGGCTATGGGGGCGTAGAGGAGTTTACAACCCCTCACATCATCATTTATGGAATTTATGGATTAGTTTCTTTCATTTTTGATTGAGTCAAATGTGCCAAACTAGTTCAGATGTAAAGCTCTTAGGAAAAATTACAGCCTGAAGGCTTCAACAGCTCAGAACCTCCGATAATGGCCAATGGCCTTAGCTCTCCAGCCCACAACTCCAGGGGGCGCTGTGGGAAGGGCACAGGCTGAAGGGGCAGCTGGCCAGGGAGGTGGGAGGCTCCCCCCGCCTTGGCCTGTTCTGGTCCTGCTGGGTCATCACGTGTAGGTGAAAGGAAAATAGTCTCTTTCCATCTCAGGTGAGTCACCAAAGTATTTGTGTAGACAGGACCCACGCCACGCTAATAAAACTGCTTCCTTCTGGAAACTTTTGGAGTTGGGGAGACATATGGACTGTGGGGTAGGAGGTCCAATTCCTCGGCTGAGCCCTCAGGTAAGAGGAGCACCCCAGCTCCATCCACCACCAATGGGCAATGATTGTAGTCCCTTCCTTCCTCTATAGCTTCCCCTCCTGGCCTGAGGGCATTATAGACTCATAGAGTCTACGCCCCCTTGGGAGGTATGGATCCCTTTTGTAAGCTTTCTGGCCGACTCCTGCAGCTTCTTCTTGATTACCCAGCTCAACAGGGAGTTCACCACCTCAGCAGGCAGCCAGGACTAATAGAAGCCACTCCAGCTATTAGTGACCTTTGCATTCATTTCCAAAAGGAGTCATTGGCTTAAAAATCTGTTTTAGAATTTGACCAGAGATCACAGCTGGCCTTCTTGATGGTAATTTCCAGAACATCCTTTTTCCCTTTTTTTGCATATCGAGACTAGAGTTCCCTGGGTTGACTCTAGCTCCCTGGGTTTCCCCAGTGGCTCCTGTGGCCCGGGGCATTGGGTTCTTTGGGTGACCAGGTGGCATTTTGGGGTCTCCTCTCCTACCCTGAGCACTGGAGTCTCTTTCCTCTTGTTGCTTTTATCCCTTTTCACTCGAAGGCTGGTTTCCTTGCTATAGGTAGACAACAGCAGCCCAGGTGATCAGCCGCTGGGCCCTTCCTCTGCTATTTGAGAACATTCTATGGGGTCCTTCCCCTAGGACTAGAGAGCTTTCTCTCTGACATAACTAAACAGGCCCAGGGCAGCTGAAGGCTCTCCACACATTTGCAGGAAGCAGTTGTCTGAGGCTGTCTGTGGAACACTTTTGGGGGAGATGGAGCCTGGTAGCTCGCCCAGGACGTGGACTCACTGGGGCTCCAGACCTGCTCTGGGCAAAGCCGAAAGGCTGGACCACCGGCTCTCCATCCCCACAGAGGTCTGACCGACCCTGAGAACGGTGGAGCTGGACTCCCAGGGACAGGACGGCTGTGGCCAATTATGGTGGCATCAGCGGCTGGCACTGAGAAACCTCTGCGCCCTAAAATAGCGACCCAATGGCCAGTCGCAGCGCCGACAGCCCACCATCGTTGCTCCATGCCTTCAGATTTGGAAGGATTTTTTTTTTCTTTTTAAGTATTCAAGAGTCTCAGATTCAAATTTAATCATCATCTCTTTGAGAGTCCTATCGGATAAAAACTTCCAGATGCCTGTTACTTGAAAACAAGACTTGGGGACTTTAGAAGAGCTGGGGTGGAGATGAGGGTGGGGAGGGGCACCCTGGTCTCTCCAACTACGGGAATGAAAACAAGTCGGACACGTGGGAGAATCTGCACATGGCAATGCATGCCCTTGACCTAAATAACAGGCCAGGCTCGGAGCTCCTGGTCTCCCCCGTGCAGCTGAGGAGCCCGTGGATCCTGCAGGGACTCATCTCGCTCGACACGCTGAACTGCTTGGGTCATTTTCAGGCCTCATCTGTGTTCCTGAATTCCTGAACCTCGTCGTAACCTCCCTTTCTCTTCGGGTTCCCTGATTCCTGGGCATACATGGACCATCGTATTCAAAGCAGGAGCCTGCACCTTCCGGTGACCCAGCACAGGGCCCAGCCCCGAGAAGGCACAGAAAAGATTTGCAGATCTGACCACCTAAAACGGACAACTATTCCCACCTGCCAACCCAGCAGGGCTGTGCTGAGCATGAAATGGGGCACAGGAATTTCCTGGAAAAGTTTAAAGTGCTGTGCCCATATAACATGAGTGTTATAATTACAGGCAGTTCCATTTATATCCTGCTGTATTTGGGTGGGCAGGAGCCTGTCCAGATGCAGCTCAGGAACAGCGGATCATGAGTCAGGTTTCCACCCCTCTGCATGCTGCCTGCTGTGCACATGTCCCCCCACCCCACACCCTGCCTCCGATTTGGGATTTCTGACTCAGACCCCCTCAGATTCCATAAGCTTTAAGGGAGCAGCTGCTTGGTGTGGGGAGGAAAAGTGTAAGACTGGTGTTTTTGTCGCTTATGTCACTTCAGCGGGTCACTCAGACTTTGTGTGACTCAGTTTATTGCTCTGGAGATGGGGACCAAGGAATCCTGCCCGATTCACCTCACAGAGGAGTGGGGGCGGGAATCGGTGAGATAATGAAGGTCAAGTACAAGCCGGCAGGATCAATAGGTCTTTTCTGGCAAACAAGGAGGCAGAAGGATGCTCCCGTGGTGCCAGCCAGGGGAGAACAGCCAGGACGCCTGTCTGCCCAAAGTATGCCCCCGACTCAGACTCCTGCCGTGCGGTGCTCCCACCATGCAGTGCTCCCAGGCGGGGCTCCATGGTTTAGAAAAACGTACTCACAGACACCAACTCTCTCGAGGCCCCTCTGGCGATTCTGGGAGGTTCCAGCCCCATCTTGCCAATCAGAACCAGGTGAGGTGTGCCGAGGGTGAGTGACAGCCTGACGCTCTGGGCCTGCAACGCAGAGCCTCGGGCATGGCATACTGCTCGTGACATGGCGTGCCCACCTGGGACCTCTGCCACCTGGCACATCTGGACACCCTCCCGCATCAGCGTGGGGCTAAGCCCCCGCACACACAGACCGCCTCAGGCACAGGGTACTATTAGCGAAATGCCATTGGTTTTGACTCAATTTTCACGCAAGGCTCTGTGGACCAATTGGGACCTTTGATCCTGGAGGAAATGCCCCCATCGGCACCCTGGGCAGGGATGGGGCGGCTCATTTCTTGTAGCCCACTCCCTGCTGAGAAGGGCTTGAGACAACCTGTTGCAAGTTGAAGACCTTGACTTCCTTCTTGCAGGCATGGCAGACAGAGACAGAGAGACTGGAGAAACAAAGAGGCGTGAGAGCCCAGGAGAGGCGGGGTGACCACCTAGAGAGCTGAGAAGTGTACGGGAGGGTGATTCCAACCCTGACCCACCTCCACCACGTGGGACGAAAAGCCTGTCTGCGACATCTCCAGCCCAAAGGACGTTTCGTTCTTGTTGGTGCCTAAAACAGAAGGACAGAAAGATCTCAGCTCCACGCCTGATCGCTCAGCGCCACACACACCTGCATCTCCACCCCCAGCGCCTGTGTCCTGGGGGCCCCTTCAGCGAGGGCAGAGGGGGCCCTGAGGCTGAGTCCAGCAGCACTGCCCCCCTGGGTGGCCCCAGAGGCAGGCAGCCTGCACAGGGAGGCACCAGGCACCTTCTGGCAGCTGCTGGCTTTACTATTAGTAGCCCCGTTACTGCTGAAAAGGGTTTGGGACGAGTTATATGACAGAGCATGTATGCTATATGACTGTCAAAATAGGGGAAAGATCGAGAAAAGTGCATGGAAAGAAATAGTCTACATTTTTGGCAAGAAGTGGAAATGCCATTTCTTTCCCCACTTCTCTCATTCCTATTATTCACCAGCTTTGGTTCCAGAGGCCTCTGGATGATTCCCAAACACTGACTCAACCCTTGGGAGGGAGACCTGTCACCACCACAGCTTTGCACAAGAAACCCATGTGTGCTGAAAGCCCTTCCCCAGAGAGCCCCCGCTCCCCCCAGGGCCCTGGAGCCGAAGTTCTCCACGCCCAAAGAAACCGTTTCTAGAAGTACCCTCATCTGGATATTTAAGTCCTATGTGAGTGTCAAAACTCAGGATCACACTTTCTATTCCTTTATCCGGTGGATAAGGGCTGCTTTTGTCTCCTCGTGGGTCTGGAGCTCATCTTTTCCAATGTGCTCGGGCTCTGGGACACTGCTTTCTGCCTCTGTTTACAATCCTCCCATGTGGCCCAGCCCAGGGTCGGGAGGGCCAGGTCTAGCAATACACGGAGCAAAGGAGAGCCGTGCAAACAAAACTGGAGTTTAAATAGTAAGTAAGGAGAGGGGCGCCTGGGGGGCTCAGTCGGTTAAGTGTCTGCCTTCAGCTCAGGTCATGATCCCTCGGTCCTTGGATCGAGCCCCAAGTTGGGCTCCCTGCTCAGTGCGGAGCCTGCTTCTCCCTCTCCCTCTGCTGCTCCCCCCGCTTGTGTGCTCCCTCTGTCAAGTAAATAAATAAAATCTTAAGAAATAATAAATAGTAAGGAGAGAGGCAATCGGAAGGAACCCTGTGCAAAGTGCTTTCGGCGGAGGGGGAGGCAGCAGACTCAGGGATTAAGCATTTCAGGCTACGGAGGCAGGCCCAGCTGCATCCAAACTAGGGTTGCCAGATAAAATACGGGATGCCCAGTTCAATTTGAATTTCAGACAACCAGCGGATAACTTCCTAGTATCAGTCTGCCACAAACACTGCATTTTATATTTGCTAAATCTGGCGACACTAGCTCAGACCCCGACTCCTTCCCAAGCTGGGGAAGCTTTGGCAAGTCACTTGGTTCCTACAGGCTTCAGGATCGTCAGTGGTCAAAGGAGGAGAAAGTCGCAAAGCCACTGTCCGGGGCTGTCTGTGAGGTTACACGGCCTCCAGTCCCGCATGGAATACCACGCATTTATCGTGAAGGGATGGCTCCTGCTAAAGCATTCCGTGTTGTGGGGCTGGATGTCGCTCCATGGGGTTCACCTGATATGAGCCTGGAAGCGTAGACCCCTCTCGGTAGGTATCGCTTACCTTCCAAGCTGAAGATCCTGTCCCCCAGGGCATCAACAATGTCCTTCAGGGCTGCCTCGTCAGTCACGTTGAAGAAGTGCTTGTCATCGGGATCACTGGCGATATATTTGATCTCGTTTAGAAAAGCTTCTGGATTGATCCCCCTGCGGTTGTAGTAGCCTAGGACCTGCCAGGGAACAGGGGCAGGGTGACCAAGCAGGACGTAGCACAGACCTCCCCACACGCCCGAGTACCCTGCCCCCCCGAGTGGCCACGGTCGCTGTTTCAGCTGCCAGGAGCAGAACGTGGGGTTCCATTTGCAGTTTGAGACGGGCTGTCTTGTAGGGGCCAGAGAAGGCCCCTGGTCTAAGATAAGGGTCTGGGGGCTGGGTGGCTTGGGGGTGTTTCCTAGAGTTCTGAGGTGTCAGAATCTCCCTGGCAATGGAGGAAAAAAACCTCCGAAGCCCCCACAACTGTTGTGGATAGCCCTGGATTCCCCAGATGCTCTTTAGGAGAGGCTGAAACAAGGAGAGGCCCATTGGAGGGCCTGGACAGCTTGTTCACCACCCAGAAAATGCCCCTGAGACTCCCCAGAGGTTTGATGGCTAAGCCTCTAGGGGCACGCAGTGTGGGACACTCGGGGCAGGACTCACGGCTACAGCGTATCTGGTCACGTTGTCTCTCTCGCTTTGCTGGATCACCTTCTCCAGGTCTGGGCTGTCATGGGACTCTCCGTCTGTGATGACAATCATTACTTTCTTGGCCCCTTTCCTTCCACCTTTCTGGAAAGCCTCTGAGCTGAAACCATAGCACGGGGGGGAGGGTCACAGAGGAATGTAGGGATGGGGCAGCTTCCAGTGCTCCTCCCGAGGGGCAGCCACAGAAGTAGGGCCAAGCCCACTCGCCTCCCCCGAGGGAGCAACCCAACAGGGCTGGATCTCGAACCAACGAAGAAGCTGGGTTGAGATGCCCACACTGCTCATTCACCAGCTGCTCAGATGGGTCATGTATCTGCTTGTTCTTTTTTTTATTTTTTTAAAGATTTATTTATTTATGAGAGAGAGAGAGCACGCACAAGTGTGAGGGGCACAGGGAAATCGAGAAGGGATCTCAAGCAGACTCCGTGCTGAGCGCAGAGCCCGACCACAACTTGATCTCATGAGCCTGAGATTCAGGACCTGAGCCAAAACCAAGAGTCAGATGCTTAACCGACTGCACCTCCCAGGCACCCTTGCTTATCTTTAAAAAGTGACTTTAAAGAACCCCTATAGGGTCCTGACCATGCTGTTTGGGCAAGCGAAGGGGACAGCGTGGGTTTGGGAGGAAAGTTCAAGGTCAGATAGAGATCTTTATTTTATTTTTTTTAAAGATTTTATTTATTTCTCTGAGAGAGAGAGAGAATGCACGAGTGGGGGGAAAGGGGAAGAGGGAGAGGGAGAAGCAGGCTCCTCACTGAGCAGGGAGCCTGATGTGGGACTCAATCCCAGGACCCTGGGATCATGACCTGAGCCGAAGGCAGACGCTTAACCGACTAAGCTACCCAGGCGCCCCAGACGGGGACCTTTAGACACCCTAAGTTAATGGTTCAAAAACCCAGCTGTACATTAGAATCACCTGGGGAGTTTTAAAAAAATGCTGATGTCCAGGCCCCACCTGGGCATGTGATCAGAAGCTCTGGGGCATGGCCTGGGCATCAGTATTTTTCCAAAGATCTAGTGAATACTGATGCTGAGAACCACTTCCCTACATACTGAAAGGGTGATGGGCCAGAGTAACTCAACACCCAAACAACACTAATCCATAAAATACACGGATGAAGCCTGAACGAAGTTCTGACTTTTCCCATGAGGACTATTTTGATTCTATTTTGGGAACTATTAAATATCAAATTCCATGACAAATACTCCTCTTTCTTGCTTTTTATTTTGTTTTCAGTGCCTGAAGCGGGGGCTTGGCCCGCCTGTTGGGCCATCCAGCCAGGGGCTGGGGCTTGGCTTTCTGGCCCACCACATTGTGGAGAGGCTCTTAGAGCTGGCAGCCCATCTCAGAAGCAGGAAACCTGGCTCTGGAACCATCACTGGCTCTCGGTGCCTCTGGGGCCAACCCTCCTTTAGACCGTGAGGTTCTGAATAGGAATGACACGGTCTGGACCCAAAGTCTGACCCAGCAGGTAGAATTTTCCAGTAAGGATCTGAAAATAAATGTTTCCTTGAGACTCTTGGGTCTGACCCACAGATTTAGGCTCCACGATGCTAGGTTAAAGCTCATCACCAAAGGTATCTCTTGTGACACGGCACGCTGATGAACTGATGTGCGTGACTTAGATGTTGAGGAATTCACAAAGCCTGGAAGAAGTTAGTTCAGAGCATCTTCAAGCTCCCAGTTAAGAGAACAGACCATCTGCCATTCTCTCAGCTCTATGATATTGTAGATAGATGGACTTAAAAAAAAAACATTGAGTTTTGTTTTATTTTATTGTGAGATTTTATTTATTTATTTGACAGAGAGAGAGAGAGAGAGAGATACAAGTAGGCAGATGGGCAGCCAGGCAGAGGGAGAGGAAGAAGGAGGCTCCCTGCTGAGCAGGGAGCCTGATGCGGGACTCGATCCCAGGACGCCGGGATCATGACCTAAGCCGAAGGCAGACATTTAACCGACTGAGCCACCCAAGCACCCCAAAACTGTTGAGTTTTAATATGAGCTGTGAACTGAAGGAGGCCAGAGGTACACTTGATGTGACTATAGCAAATTTTGAGCATCAGCCTGACCCATTGGAGTGAGAATTCTGCCAGGCCCTCAAAGGAGATTCTAGATGTTTCCATCACCTCATCGAAGGGTCAGGCCCAGGCACAAAACTCCATGCAAAGAAAGTATGGCAGGGGAGAAACAGGTTTTATTACATGGAATTGTGTGAATATCTGTATGAATCTGCAACGAGGTGAATATTGACATGAATCATCAAATTTAAAATTGTGATTTTCTATTGTGTAAAAAACCTTGGATTTGTTCCCTTGTAAATCAGATCATAAGTTCCTTGAGAGCAGTGAGAGCTTGATAATCTCAACTCACATTCTGGAAGCCAGAATGATCTATGGACAAGTAGGCTATATCATATCTCCTTTCTGCTCAAAACCTGCACTGGCTCCCATTTCTTTCGGGTCCTGACAACGGCCCATCAACCCATCATAATCTGGCCGGTCATCCTCTGTCCCTCTGAGCCCTTCCTCCTGCTTGTTGCCCCTTCATTAAAAGTGTTGAGTGAACTAAGGTGGAATCACATCATTGTCCCCACGGCCTCCAAGCCATACATGACTACCAGATTCATCTTTACGTGCATATCTGATGAAAACACTCTCGAGCCTAAGAGCCCTCCGTGGCCACTCATGGTTGTTCTAGCTATGACATTATCATTCTCACAATCTGGCTCCAATACCCCCAAACAGGAACCCCATTCCATTGTCAAAAGGCTCCAAATATAAACATTACTCGACTTTCCCCCTCTTTTGTCCTTGGCCGGACGGAACGTCTTCTTTCCACCTCTCCCTGATCGAATTCTGGGGTCTTCTTAGGACAAGCCAAATGCCAGCCCCTCTTAGCAAATCCTTCCTTAGATCCTACCCTTTCATCCTCACTGATTTAGGCTGATGCTTGTCAGAGTTCCTGACTGGGCCAGGGTGGGTCATGGGTTACCATCTCTGTAACCCCTCAAGTCCATGGCCTGGATCTTCATACTTTGGAGGTGCACACACATAAAAATGCATTGTGAATAACTGAGTGAGGAGAGCAAACCTTTTACTTTAAGACACACCCCCTGTAATTTGGGACTGGGCAGGCTGAGGAGATCAGATTTCAAACTTCACTTGAGGCCCAGATTGCATATCCCAGCAGTGCTCATGAGTCATGACTGGTTCAAACTACTTGGTGGGTCCCACACGCGTAATTGACCTGGGGTTGGTGGGCTGCATCCCTGTATGAGTCAGTTAGTTCACACTGAGGAAACGATCACCAGTGGGCACCGGCTTCCTCTGTTGCCCCAGCAATTCCATGAGCGTGGGGTGGGGTGGGGGGGCTCAGGGACTCATTCCAGTGACAGCAAAACAGAAAAATGGCCCGTTCCTTTTGAGGATGAGTAAGAGCCATCTTCACACGGAGGGAGGTTCATGGCCCATTCTTTGTGAGGATGAGTAAAAGCCAGGTTCATTTAGGAAAACATTTGAGCAAGTTTTATCAGCAAACCCAGAAGTATGTTAGTGGAGCCGTAACTTAATTATAAAGAGTTGTAAGGTTGGAGAAAGCTTCATCGTTTGACCGCATGAAATCACGTTACTGCTAAATTCTATTAAACACATTGACTTATCCGATGTGAGGTGGGATTATACGAAAATGGGCCTGTGGTCTCAATGGACATAGCAGAGCTTATATTTGTAGATGTAGAATTTATACATTTAAAATCCATTAGCCTTAGATGTAGTCACCTTAGGGGTTTAGGCCTCAGCTCAAAAGATCTTGGGGAATTGCTTCTAAAGTCACTTCTTGATTTCAGTGGGGGTGAGCACAATGTTCTGAGCAATGGCCATGTCACTGGAGTGAGCACGGAGCCATCCGTGAGGGCGCTGTCTAGAGGCGACATTCATTTTCACGGTGAGTGGGTACTGGTGTGATTTTAAGGAGCCAGCCTTGTTAGTCTACAACCTCGGGAGTTAGGAGTTATATTTAACGATGTTCCTCACACTCCACTGATGACACAGACTCCATGGAAGATTCTGCCCTCATGGAAACTATCCACTTTTTTATCGGGTCTCTGTGGCACAGTGCATTTTCCAAAGTTGGTTGTAACAATGCCTCCCATTCCAAATGCTCTCCTGTGATGTGACCTTGCCATTCCTCCAACAAGAGGCAGAATCAAGTTCTCTTCCCCTTGAACCTGGGCCGGTCTTAATGACTTGCTGGATCAACAGAATATGGCAAAAGTTATATCTGGGACTTTGCGGGCTAGGTCAAGGCAGTCTCAGAGTTCCTGTGGGGGCCTCGTGGAAAGCTCTCTTGGGACGCTCCCTCTCAGAGTCCGGCTGCCACACCACAAGAAAACCAAGCCACCTGGCTACGTGTGGGTGCTCAGGTCGCCAGCCCACACTGAGCTCCCAGCCAACAGCCTGCGACAACTGCCAGGCTCATGAGTGTGCCATTTTGGATGTCCAGTCCAGTCAACCCCTCCGATGACGAGAGCCCCAGCTGACACACCAGACTACACCCATAAGAGAGAGACCCAGAGAGAATGGACCAGCTAAGCCCAGTCAACCCCAGAACCTGGAGAGATTAATAAATTATTGTCTCAAGGTACAGAATTTTGTGGAGGTTTGTTACACAGTAATGTAGAACTACACAAGTTATCTGAGATTTAAGTAAATTATCATTATTTCTATTTTATTAGGATTTTTTTTTTTTTTTTTTTTTTTACCGAGCAAATTCGATGCCAAATGCCGTCCGGGTCTCCGTTCCTCCTCTCTGCTCAATGTGGCTGGCAGCTTCCACCACATCTCGTACAGACCTGTAGTCATTGAGGTGAAATTCATGCACCACGTCTTCTCCGTACTGGACAACTCCAACCTGCGAGAGAAGAGAGAGGACCCCTGAAAGCTGGGCCATGGGCGGTGAGGCTCCCCAGAGTCATCTCTCTGTCCGCCAACTGTTGGCAAGTGCGGAGGGCGGGGGACCTTCCCAAGGAAGAGTCACTGGGAAGGGAAGCCGTTCTGCAAAGTTCTGCAGAGCTCCAGGAATGAATGGGTGGCTTGGTGAGGCAGGTGGAAGGTGCCTCTCCAGAAGGGAGACTGTTGGGTGGGATCGAGCCCCGCGTTGGGCTCCGCGCTGAGTGTGGAGCCTACTTGGGACTCTCTCTCCCTTTCCCTCTGCCCTTCCCAGCTTGTGCACTCTCTCTCTTTAAAACAAAAAACAAAAAACAAAAAACAATAAAAATAAAGAAAGGCCCAACAGATTATGTTCCTTGAGCATAGGATTGAAGCCTAAAATATTAGGAGCAGAATGACTGGAGGGCCATGGCATTTTTCGCCAAAGGCTGGAACCAAGGTTTCTGAAAACTTGGAGGAGAATCTTTTATCGCCAAGGTTGATAAGATATAGACAGTATTAATAGCCTCAACATAAACAAAAACCTTAAGGGCCTATATAGTAGGACTGGAATGATAAAACCTTCCTGTTGGATGGGCCCCAAGTTTATCTGGTGCCTTTTTAAGGCCAGACTTTTGTGCACGAGACCCTAAAGATGATCTTCCCATTGTGGGCAAGTCATTACTTCTTGAGAAAGCCCACTGCCTTTTTAACAGCTTTAATTGTGACAAAATAATTTCCTAGAATGACTTGTAATCTGCCACCTTGTACCTCCTAAATGTCAGTCCTCACTTGGCCGCCCAAAACAATACAGAATAAATCGACCCCCTCTTTAGCCCGGCGGCCTTTTGGACACCTGCTGGTAGCTATGTCCTCCCTCCCTCCCGCACTCGGTCTTCTCTCAAGATCTGTGTGTCTAATTCTCCCCTGTGCCTCACTCAGCAGGGATCCACTCAACCTTCCCTGCCTTCCTTCTTGCTCTCTCTAGGAAAAGTTTTTCTTAATAGTTGGCATCTACTCCAGAAGACGGGTTTGGCCGGTGAAATGGGGCCTCCTCGGAACCGTCCCTGGACGCACCCAGCAGAGGTAGGCGTCCTGGGCTGCAGGGCCTGGGCCTGGCCCTTGCACCTACACCTCATTAGCTCGTGCAAAGATGCTCCTCCACGGCCCAGGCCAGCGTCTTCCACAGGTTTGGGGGAGCCCTGGTCAGAGGAGGAGGGAGACACTCACCTGGATCTGCCCAGGGCCGATGTAGAACTTCTTCAGGATGTTGATGAGGAAATGTTGAACCTCCACCCAGGGGTAGATGCTGTTGGAGCCATCCAGGACAATGACGATGTCCATGTAGGTCTGGCACCCTGGGAAGTGGGGACATGGTCATGGCTGCCCAGTAACTCAGTGCTTTCAGTCTCTGATTCTCCAGGTGTGGGTCCAGGGGACAATAGAAGAAGGACCCTGTCACATGCATGTAATTCCCCGGGCTAGTAGTTTATTTGTGCAACATGAATGGTGAGCCCAGGAATTCCTGGCTCTGCTCAGCCACTCTGTGCTGGCTGTTTGAACCAAGCTTAAATCCACCCTGACTCCCTCTGCTCTTCATCAGGGACCAAACTACCATCAGCTGGCTAATGCTTTCAGCCCAAATGAATGAGTTTCACTTTTTAGGAGAGCAGTAAGGGGTGATGGCTTAAGATGAGGGATCCAGCAACAGACTGTTTGATTCCCGGCTTCGCCGGGCATTAGCTGTGTGACCTTGGGCAAGTCACCTAACCTCTCCGTGCCTGTTATCTCGGCTGTAAACACAGGCGAGGTGATAGGAGAAGGTTGCCAGGAGGAATCAAGGAAATGAGGCTTCTAAAGGGCTGAGCACAAAGTCAGGGCCCAAGAAATCTTAGCGGATCCTCTTATTTTTTTAAATGTTTTTTTCTATTTATTTTTTAAGCAAAGTACTTTGTTAATGTGACAATGACATCGTCAGGTCAAGTCTTTGTGTCTTTATTTCTGCTCTGAGCGTAAAGGTTTCTCTATATTCTTATAATATTAATACCAAGTTAAAATGAACGATAAAAACCAACAAAGAAACATTGGTACCGTAACAAATGCAACAATCTTCTTTTAAAATCTAAGTAACTTATGTCTATTGGTGAACGGTTAGGGTTGCTTTGAAATTAGATGTCCCAATATGATATGATATATACATACCATATATATCATATTGAATACATACATATATATCATATTGAAATATTGGGTATCTGCTGACTTCTACTGGAGAATTTTCACACTGTTGTAAAATCTACTTTATAGCAAAACAGCAGGAGACTTCTGTGTGTTAACCATTCCAGTAACTCCCGCATCATGAAGGTGCAGTTGGTTGAAGTCAGTGCTCACCAGAGACAAAAGGTGGCGGCTTTGAATGTAGACATTCTCGTCCCACCTGCACGCTGTGTGCAGCATATGATGGCTCAATTCCTCTGGGCTAACACAGCCAGATAGCTTTGTCCTTTTCCAGCCTGGTTTAGCTTAATACCTGCCGCCAGCTATGTGGTGCGGGCGGCCATGGACGTGACCGAGACAGAAACTCCTTAGTTAGGGGGACTTCCTAATCCAGTGGTAGGAACCAGGTTTCTTTTATTTTTAAGCCATCTTTATTATGAGAACGCATTTATTACTGCTGATTTCTTTCTTGCGATTTCACTTTTTTTTTTTGTTTAAAGCATCTTGGGAAGAACTTTGCTTTAGATCTGTGGTTCCTAAACAGGACTGAACACTCCAGGGAACACACACACACACATACACACACTCACTCACTCGCACGTACATACACCCTGGGGCTTGTCCCAGACCTACTGAGTTAGAGCCTCCAGAGGGGGTGCCCTGGGGTCTGTGTCTGATAAGCTCCCAGTACACTGCTGCTGGTGGACCAGTGAGCAGGCCTCCACCAGAGGAGTTCCCGGAGGCTTAGATGGTCATTTGTTGGCCTGGGGTGAGGTTCCCCATTCATACCTCATGTGACCGAACTTGCCAGCCACAGCACCGCCTTTCCCTTGGCCACTTTGTGAGCATAGAATCAACACCTCCTCCTCACCCTTAAAAGGACCACTTTCTAGCCCCTGCTGTGCTGCTGTCCGCCCCCCCACCCCCCGCCGTGCCCGCCAGAGGTGCTAATCCCCTCACCCTCAATAAAACGGGTTAGCAGCTGCTTGGGTGACAGTATTCAGCCCAGAGGAAATAGTGAGGCTCGGAGCCAAGTAGTCTGGGCTTGCGGGGAGACAAGGTCTGAACACTATTTCTCCAGATTTTCTTGGTGGGTGGGGAGTGAGTGGGAGGTTTTGTGTTCCATGAGGCTCTGGGCAAGCTGAGCAGAGCTTCCTGACATCCAGGAACACCAGTTAGCGGGGGCCGTTACCAGGGATATTTCTGTTTTCCTTGGCCTTCCACCTACAAGGCAACTGCATCACGTAACATCAGAGGGCACCATTCACATTGTAGTCTAAGTGAACAAGGTCCCCAGAATTGTGCTGAGCATGGCTTGCTGCTCTACTTGGTGGCCCAGCAACCTCTTTCTCACAGTGGGTTTGCAGTGAGCCTCTCTGCCTGCCAAGATTGTCTTCATAACCTCAGCTCACTGGCTTCCCACCAACACTCTGTTGTGGGGTAACCCACAGGTTCTGGAGCAGGGCGGGGCTCAACTCCTGGTGCTGCTTCGTAGCTGCAGGGTGGCAGGGATCAGAGCTCAGAACCTTCCATGACCGTCGGCCACTCAGCATGGGTCTGTAGATTTGAAGCTACTTACTTTGGAGAGCTGGGGCCACTGTCTTGGAGAACCTGAAGTTGGAGTTGACTCTCGAACACATCCCTGTGGTGTAGTAGGAACTCCCACACTCGTGAGACCAGAGGGGGCTGCAGGCCTGTGAAGCACAGGGCAGACCCCTAGTCAGTGGGGGGGTGTCTCCGGGAGGGTCCAGACCCAACAGCCTTTAGCCCAGCCCAACCTCCATGACCTAAGACAGACATCCTCTATCTGAGTATTGGTACTCCAAGGATTTAGAGTCTTCTTGGCGTCTAACTGAATTCTTTCTTGCGCTAATGTGTTCTAGTTCTCTTGCTTCAGATGGAATGGAGAAAAACTAATCTTAGAGTCCTCCTTTGTTGCATTTTCAAGGGTCCCATCTCTCTATCCCATCACTTAGAGTTGTGACTCTCCTTTACCCTTCCTGTCCACCCTACCCACCACGCAGCATCATCCATGGGAGTGGAACCTTCAAGGTCACTAGAAGAACCTCTCTGTCTGAAGAGGTCACCTGAAGGTCCTTACTGGGAAAACTTCCAGGACTGGGTTCCAACAATATGCCCAGGCCTCTTACTGGGGAAAAAAAAAAAGAATGTTTCTGCTCCTTCTCTGAAATTTGCTACCAAACACATTGATGTCAGCTTCTCATTTAAAGATTGAGTAATGAGTCCCCCTCAGGGTCAGGATCATTAAAAATGAAAGCCCAGCCACATGCCTCCATTTTTGTATCGCTGCCAGGAAACCTGGGACTAAATTTTGTGCTGTAATTTCCTTTGGTCTGGAAAAATAATTATTCCATTTCTTAATTTCTTTCTTTAATTAGCTTTCTTTTTTAAGTCAGATTTTAAGGGTTTTGTTTTATCTATGTTCTTTGTTGAAGCTGCAGTAAATTATTTACGGAAGTAGGGGGAGAATAAAGGAAGGTGGATGGTGGATGATGGCTGGAGGGATAGATGGATAGATGATGGATGGATGAGTGGGTGGATGGATGATGGAAGGATGCATGGATAGATGGATAGATGATGGATGGATAGATGGGTGGATGGATAGATGGGTGGATGATGGATGGGTGAGTGGGTGGGTGGATGATGGAAGGATGCATGGATAGATGGATAGATGGGTGGATGGATAGATGGATGGATGATGGATGGGTGAGTGGGTGGGTGGAAGGATGGATGATGGATACATAGATTGATAGATGATGGATGGATGGGTGGATAGATGATGGATGGATGGGTGGTTGGATGATGGATAATGGATGGACGGATGATGGATGGATGAATGGATGATGGGTGGATAGGTGGGTAGATGATAGATGCATGAGTGGGTGGATGAATGATGGATAACGGATGGATGCATGAATGGATGGATGATGGATAATGGATGATGGATGGGTGTAGGAAGGGATGGATGGAAGGATGAGTGAATGGGTGGATGAATAGATGAATGGAGAGATAAACAATTGGTTGGGGGATGGACTGATGAGTGAATGGATGAATGGATGAGTGAATGAGTGAACAAAAGTTGCCATTTATAAACCAGGGACTTAACCAACCCACGGAAGCCCTAGAGGGTGTATCACACAATCCTTCTTGGGCCTTCATCCACCTTGTGAAGTAGATGAAATCAATTTGGTAGGAACATGATAAGGAGCCTCAGAAGGAAAAGGGAACAGCAAAAAAGCCCCTGACAGGTCTGTGTGTGGACAGGACCCAGGGTCCTGTTTGCCCTTGGTTGGGATGATGAAGGGCTATGAGCTGACCACACACTGAGGCACCTCTGGACTTTCCCCGGCAGGGCCACTATGCTCTCCATAGCCCCTGAGCATCCCACTCATCTCATTGTCCTGGTGTCTGGTGCTCCACACCCTGAATGTCCCATCTGTCCACAGAAACATATTGTTGGATAAGAACAAAGAGCAACACAAGCCCTCCCATCTTAAAACGAGTGGCTCATTTTATTGGGCTTTCTGGGGTAATGCTTCTCTGAATTCCTCTCCTGTAGCTGTCTCTAGAACTATCTGTCCCAGCTGGATCCTGTTTTGAATCTCCAGCATTGCCCAACCCATGGTGGCAAGGAGCAGGCAGCGCCCACCATGATGCCACCTGCACTTGCTGTGTGCAGGGTGCAGAGACCTCTGACGACAGGCCTTCCTGCCCCAACGTCATGTTTATGCTCCTCGTTGGCTTCTCAGCTCTCCCCCCACCAGAACTGAAACCCTAGGGGGGCAGGCGCTCTGTTGACTGCTGAATCCCCAGTGTCTGGCATTGCGCTCAGCACATCATAAGGGCTCAAAGCATCAGTGTTGAAATGAATAAATGTCCCTACCACTTCAGCACAAATACCTCTCCTCTCTCTTCCCTGCTAAGACCCATTGTCTCTTCTTGAAAAGCAAATAAAAAACCTCCCCCAGAGGGGTGCCTGGGTGGCTCAGTCGTTAAGCGTCTGCCTTCGGCTGGGGTCATGATCCCAGGGTCCTGGGATCGAGCCCCGCATTGGGCTCCCTGCTTGGCTGGAAACCTGCTTCTCCCTCTCCTGCTACCCCTGCTTGTGTTCCTGCTCTCGCTGTCTCTCGCTGTCAAATAAATAAATAAATAAAATCCTTAAAAAAAAAAAAACAAAAAAACCTCCCCCAGAAAGCCTTCCCATCTAACCCTGCACAGTCCGGGGGGCCCAGCGCTCTGTATCTCTTCCCTCAGTTGTCGTAAATCTGTGTTCTCTCATTTACGGCTTCCCCTTCAGAGACTTTTTTTTTTTTTTTAAAAGATTTTTATTTATTCATGAGAGACAGAGGGAGAGAGAGAGAGAGAAGCAGAGGGAGAAGCAGGCTCCCAAGGAGCAGGGAGCCCGATGCGGGACTTGATCCCAGGACCCCGGGATCATGACCTGAGCCGAAGGCAGACGCTTAACCATCTGAGCCACCCAGGCGTCCCCCTTCAGAGACTTCTTAGGGTGTGCGGTGTGTCCTGTTTCTTTGACCAAACCTGGAGCAGAGATTCGCGCCCTCTCCCACCCCCGCCTCAGAAACTTGGCTCTCCAGAAGGAGGGATGGGCTCCCTTCACGCCGTTGGCTGTCTTTATTCCTGTTCCTTTCAGGCTGTCCATCCTGCATCCCCAAGGTGTGCGTACAAAAGAGCTCAATATGTTTTCCTGCCAGGGCTGTACCCCTCAAAAGCTGAGGGTACACTGGCAGAATGGTACAGGCAGGAAGTCTGGGGCAGAGCCGCTCCCTGAGCGTGTAGACAGAATGTGAGTGTGTAAGGACACGGTGACTCACCCCCTGCCTCTCCTGGCCCCGAGCAGAGGGTCTGTGGGGCAAGAGGGGTGGGGATGTGGAGAGAGGGTGGGGTGGGTGGCTCTTACCAGGAAGCTGTTGTCCTTGGGGTTGGTGGCCAGGCTCAGGCCGAGGCGCATATTGTCCTTCCGCTCAGACACGTTGGACAGAGTGACCCTTCCTGGGGTGGGAGAGAGAAACTTAGCCGGCAGCTCCCCCCACCCACCGCCCCCCCTGACCCAGAGCCCCCTGCAGCTGTCAGCCACCAGAGTCCTTCCTGATTCTCCCCGCCCCTCTGGAGCCCTCGATTGCCGGCACGTCCAGGCAGCCCTCCATGCTATACTAAGGTCCTGCCCAGACATGGTCTTAGTACTTCCTCATAGTTCCCTGTGAGATGAGGAAACTGAGTCTCAGAGAGGCCAAGCAACCTGTTCAAGGTCACACAGCAAGCACTAGGCAAAGCATCGCCCAGTCCAGCGTTTTTCCTTCTCCAGACATCTGACCGGTCCCTAGCATTCCTCATGTGTCCCGTCCTGCATCTTCCAGAACGCCTGACTTAGGCTGGTTTCCTCTGGGCAGCGTCCCCTCCACGTTTTCCTTCAAGCCAGTCTGCCATCAAAACTTAGTCGTCTGGGTCCTCCCGTGACCCTGGCTCTCTGCTCATCTGATAAACTGACATACGATAACCAATTCTCTCCCAGGACAGCAAGAGCTCTCTACAGGTGTGTGAGGTCTTGCGAGAACATCCTTCTGTGGTTGGCTGTCAAGAGAACTGATTAGGAGCAGGATTACTATCAGCCAGCTGAGTGTCAGGAGAGGGCTAGGACAGATTAGAATTGCTCAAAAAGATTCTGTGAAGGTTTGACAAAATCATTCCACCAGGCCACTGAAGGGAAGGAAGCAAGCTTGACTTCCCCAGAGGTGCGCTGGTGTGTCAGTGGATGTGCGTTGGGGTGTACACACGTGTGTGGGCATGTGGCAGGGCGTAGAGTTTCGGGGGGAAGTGAGCCAGGCATTTCATTAAATGCAGAGCAGGTCAATCTTCCTGTACTGTGAGGGGCAAGGAGGTGTCTTCCCTGCCGACTTCCAAGGACTTGGGTGGCCTCCACTGAGTATGGTTTGCATCTAGCTTCGGTGGTGGCTGTCAGTTTGAAGAGGGGCCTGGGTCGGGCATGTGACGCCTCACTGTGCTGTGGGCTGGGGGTGGGGACAGCTGCGTTGGTTGTTTTTTCTCTCTGGGTTCCCTCAGTTGGTAGTAAGGCTTCTTTTGAAATCCAGCCCCTCTTGGCTGGAGACTGTGAGTGACTGGGGTTGTTTTGTTTTTGTCTGTCCAAAGAAGCCAGAGAGAAAAGAATAGTAATAACATTGTGTTTTTATAATGCCTATGTCATTTACAAAATACTGCCCACATGTGCCCTCCCAGGACCCCCTCTCGGTCCTGGGAGGCCCAGGAGTCAACATTCCCATTTCACAGACGAGAAAATGGAGATGCAGAGAGGGTTAGTGACTTCTAGAAGGTCAGTTGCTGGTAGATGAGAGAGTGGGGGCGTGAGTCCAGGCTGTGCACCATTCCATCCTGAGCTGTCCTGTCTGATGGCAGGGCGGTGGTGGCAGTGGGGTGGTAGTGAGAAATCTGGGGAGGAAGCTCTAAGCCCTGACCCCCACCCCTCAGCAGCTTGGAGACTTCTGCCCTCTGTTTGTGTCAGGGGCACGCACCCCAACTCACCTTACCTTACCTCACCTCACCTCACCTCATCCCACCCCACCTCACTCTACCTCACCTCACTTCACTTCACCTCACTTCACCTCACCTCACCTCACCTCACCTCACCTCACTTCACCTCACCTCACTTCACCTCACCTCACCTCACTTCACTTCACCTCACTTCACCTCACCTCACCTCACCTCACCTCACTTCACCTCACCTTACTTCACCTCACCTCACCTCACCATGTACCATCTCCTTCCCCCTGGTCTCAGTGACCAAAGTCCTTAGTCAGATTGCTGACCCAGAAGCCGATGAGCATGGTAGGGGAGACTAAAGCTCACATCCTGCTTTTGCTGCATACAGGCCTTGTGGACTTGGGGCAGTCACTACCCTCTCGGGTTCGGTCTGCCCCTCTCTGAGCAGGAGAGACTAGCATCTTTCTCAGTGGGTCTGTTTGAGGACTGTGTGGCACAAGCCCTTCCTCACACGGAACCTGCCTTCCAGAATCACATCCTCTGCCTGAGCCTCTGCCCTTCGTTAAAACCCCGACTTCATCCAGGTGTCGGGAAGAAAGTGCCAGTGACAGGCTTTTTCACACTGAGTTGTGAATGTCTGCCACCCATTTAGCCTTCCCTGGAGAGAGAAGAAAGAACATTCCTGGCTTGGTGAGGCTCACAGCCTGGAAAGGCCATAGGAAAACCCAAGAGTCAGGTTTCCCAGCCCTGCGTTTTCCACTGTGGGGATAAACTGACAGATGGTCTTCCTGCCCTACACTCTCTCCTCGGTGGAAGGGAAAGAAACACTCCTCAAATGAAGGGCTTCCTGATCGGTTCTTTTCTTCTGCCCTGACTCACTCTGCTGCCCACCACCTCCCAGCTTATGCCCCAGTTTGGGAATGTTTTCCAGGGTCTGATGGCTTCATGGCTCTCACTGCCAGCAGGGGCTCCTCCTCCTTTGGAGGGAAATAGGATCCACACTGGAAATCAGAGCAGTAGAGGAAACTAAATGATGAGTTCATGTGTCTATGTCCCCACCTGGACCAGGAGCTTCTCTCAGCGGCCTTAGCTTGAGCCCAGTGCTCACCCCTCCCACCCCCTCCTCGCTCCCTCTGCCCCAGCTGCGTGGCCCTTCTTTCAGAGTAAGCTCATTCCCACCTCAGGGCCTTTGCACGTGCTCTCCCACTGCCTGGCATGCTCTGGCCCCACCTGACTCCTTGCCATCAGACCTTTGCTCAAATGTTACCTGCTTAAGGAGGCCTCCCCTGACCACCTTACTAAGGTAGAATCCCCTCCCCACCGCCTCCCTACCCAGCCTCTCCTCTCATAGCTTTGTGGTTGATCACACAGCATTTCTCCCTGCCTGTAGCAGTATGCCTGTCTATCTCTACCCAATTTCTAGTTTGTCTGCTTGCTTATTGCGCTCTCCCAGGAGAGCCCTTGGCTTCCTGTGCCCTGCTGTATCCCCAGAAACTAGCACAGTGCTTGGCACATACTAGGTTCTTAGTAAAATTTGGGGACATATTAGACCTGGAATAGATCCTAGGGTCATCGAGTCCACCCTCCTCACTTTACACATGAGCGAACCGAGGCTCAGAGACAGGATGTGAACTCCCTATGGACACACAGCGCAGAAACTGTCCAGCTGGAAGGAGAAACCCAGCTGGGCTTGTTTCAGAAGCCTGTGCCTTCAGGGTGGTGGTGACTGGGTTCTGTGAGCCACCAGTGAGGCTCCCGCCTCCCCCCAGACTGTTTCCTTACTGAGGTCTGGGCCCCGGCTGTGCTAGGGGTTTGAACTTCCCACCCATGGTGCTGACGCAGATGTGGACAGCGGGAGCGTCCGGCACCATGTGATGGGACAGCTGGCCGCCCTGGGGATCTGGGTTCTTGGGCTTTCTCTTTGATGCGGGCCTTTGTGTCCATCTGCTTATCTGTTGAAGCTCTGCCACCTCCCCCACCAGGCCCGCCTCTCCGGCTTCACCTCCCCAGGGAGCCCCACCCCTCGGCTGGCTGCTGGGGACCAGAGGCTGCCTTCCTAGAAGGTGGGGAGGCCAAGGGTCCTGGCTCTGGGGAAGGCAAGCCTTAGCAGCAGGGCTGAGATGGCAGCATCTCAGCCCAAATGGAACTTTCGCTCCCTTCTGAAAGCAAAGCCATGGTCTGACGTTTAGGACAGAGTGGAAGTGCTTTAGAGGATTAGCACGGGTGTTTTCACAGATGCACAAGGATATGCACACATGCGCACATGCATACACACACACGGATCCTGCAGGGCTCTTGGGTGAGGACAACGCCTTCATTTCTGAAAGGCCATGCTGCTCACTGACGGCAGGGTGGCTGAGGGCTGCCTGGATTGGAACCTCGGCCTTGCTACTTCTTACCTAGGGGACTCTCAACAGGTGCCCTCACCTCCCCCTGCTGCCATTCCCTCCTTTGTTACCTTAAATCTCGAAAGGTCGTCAAGGGGATTAGATGAGTCAAAAATCCCTAAAAGTGCTTAAACCAGTGCCGGGCACATAGGGAACATTATAGAAGATATATGAATATTCGCTCTTGTTATTACTTCAAAACTGGAAAGAAGACAGGAAATGTCTTTCTCCCGCTGGGAGAGAAAGCCTTGCGTTGAGGGGCAGTGAGGGAGTTGGAAAGAGCAACGGCCGGGTACACCGGAGGCCAAGGTTTGAATCCTGGCTGGCCCCTGACAAGCTGGTGTGACTCTGAGAAAGTGGCTTCCTCTCTCTGGCCTCAGCTTGCTCCTCTGTAAAATGGGGGCAGTGACCCCAGTGTGAGTGGGAGAAGCCAGTGTGACTGTGGGCATGGATGTGCTTTAAAGTCTGTCCCGCCCTAGACGGTGGTTGGCCTCACTGTGGGGAGCCCAGAGGCTCACGTTACCCAGGTTGAGCTTGGTGCAGTTCCCATGGGTCACCGGACACTTGTACACGTCTCCCGTCTTCTGGTGGCCGTTGGTTTCCAATGGAGCACCCACGACTAGCCTGAGAAGGAAAAGAAGACAAGTAAAGACGCCGGAGGAGGTGCTTCTTCCTGGCAGAGGATGGGAATGGGGAGGGCGGTACCGAGGGGAAGATGGGGTGAGGAAGGAGGGAGGAAATGCTGAGGGGCAGCCGTGTGCGGACCCTCCAACTCAGAACTGTGTCTCCCAGGGACAGGGACACCAGGTGTTTGGCACGAAGTCATGGGGCCTGTGACCTACTCTGGGCCCTTGCCAGGATCTAGAGATACAGAGATGAAGACCACATCGGTTCTACTACAAATGGGATGGAGGCTAGTCCCTGGGAGAAGAGAGCAGGGCAGACGTCATGGGGGAGGTGTGGTTGGCCTGGGTCTTAACGGATGATGATGAGTCTGTCAAATAGTGGGAGGGTGGTAGTGGTGGTCATTCAGACAGAGGAATGATGGTTTGGGAGCCATAGAGTCTTGGCCATGTGTTAGGACCTGTGGAGGGCCTCATTCCTCACCGTACGTGACAGTCTTTCTGCTGGGGACCCAGGGGCTGAGGGGCATGGTGCCTAGTGGTCATTCATGGCTGCCTCCCGAGCCACTAAATCTTTGCTCAAGGTGGGCGAGGCAGCCAGTGTGGCTAGAGCGTGGCCAGGGGCAGGCACCCAGCTGGGGCCTCCGCCTTGAGCCTAGGCTTTGTGACCTTACTTGCCCAAAGAAGCAATCGTGTCTTCTGACTTCTGATGGCTGAGAGAGGACGGGCTTGGAGGTTCAGGCTACCCAGGACTCCAGTGGCTTCTTGTGGTCAGATTGCCCCCGGCCCCCGCTCCTGCCCACCTCTCTCTGCTCTCAGGGAAGTGCGAGAAGTATGAAGGGGGTGGTTAACAGAGCTCTGTTTGAAATTAGAGTTTATGAAATAAGAGCTGAGCTTTCTCCCCTGGGAACAAGATAATGACAGATTCTAAATATATCCGCTTATTAAGCATGCCTATTTTTGACCAGCAGGAATTAATTGGACCCATAAAATCTGTTTGTCTAGACGACGTGATTTTTGGCTACTTCATTCTGTGAGCGATTGTGTGGTCAAGGCTGCTCCACTCTTTTCAGCAAGGGGGTTGGGGAGAGAGAGGAAGGGACAGAGAGAGAGGGAGGGAGGGCAGGAGAGAAGGCACTATTAGCAAGTGAACCTTGGGCTCCAAGCTTGCTTTTCTGGCTGCTCTAGTTTTCAAGGTCAACCTGATATGTGACCCAGTCTCCAAAGGGATGTTCCCACCAGGGCCCCACCACCTGCTGGTGAGTGCTTGCTAGAAAGAATGCTTTTGAGGAACACCTCATAGGGTGCCTCTGGGAGAACTAGGTGCAGCAGGTTCTAGGTCAGAAAAACCATGGCCATCTGCTAGAAAATCTGCCTCCATGTGTCTTCTAGAAAACACCCCAGCAGCCTGATAAGGTGGACTCCTCACAACTCTGCCCATTTTATGGAGTGGAACTTTGAGGCCTCAGCAGCCTACTTGATGGGGCCCCCAACACAGGGAGAGGCCTTTGGGCTGAGATTGGAGGGGCTGTGGTCTGTGTGGTCTTGAGAGGTCACTGAACTTTCCAGACCTTGGTTTTCTTAGCTGTGAAATGGGGTTATCAACCCCCGTACTATCTCTGTGCAAAGTCACAGATGTCAAAAGTCATCCAGAAAGGTCTCTAAGTAACCTATGCAGAAAGACTAAGGTCATGTGGTCTGGCAATGTCCAGCATGTAACAGTCTGGCAGTTAAATCCACCAAGTCATTGTGACCCCAAACTTGCCTCAAGACCAGGTGTGGTCCTTTTCAAAGAACAAGGGCCAGCCCCTACCTCCCATCTCCATTCTCCAGACCCGATTTCCCTGGGGGATGTTGGCATCTCATGAGGTGGCAGGACAGGGCATCCTGTCCCCATATTACAGATGCAGAAGCTGAGGCCCCAAGAGGGGAGCTGACCCAGGCCCCCCAATCTGTCTGTGGCAGAGCCGGGACTGGTTCTCCTGGGACAGCTTTGTCTGTGTTGCCCCAAATATTTCTTTGCCATGCAGTGAGGGCCTGGGTCAGCCTTCTTTACCATTCTCGAGTCTTGCCATTACATGCGCCTGTCAGGCTTGAGGTTTTGAGGATGTGATTCAATCTCACTGCGAGGGGGTAACTGCCCAAGCCCAGGGAAAATGTTTGCGTCACCACCGAGACCAGCCAAATGGCTCCTGGGGTCTGGCAGCCCTGGCCATCCCCTGTGGCCTCAGCCTTATATAGCCATCTGCGGCCTCAGGCTTGCCGTGCCTCTGGGGGCAGGACACCAGTCCCTGTGGTGTGGGCACCAGACAGCAAGACAAACCCCAAAGATCATGGCGAGCATCAGGCCCTTTCCACGGGCTGTGTGCTGTGACTCACTGGCTGTGGGCTCCCGGCATTCTTCCGGGAGCAGGGCTGCTGCGGATGGGAGAATTTGCGGCAGGCTTCAGCCACAGCCCTGTGGGACCCCTCCCTGGTGGCTGCCCTCTATAGAAGCAGGACCTTGCCAAGGAAGGAGGCTCTCCGGAGAGAAGGCCACCTGAGGAAGACAGGGGTGGCCCGCTGGGTGCCGGGCTCCTTGGCTCCCAGCAGGTCACAGGCTAAGACAAGGGACCCTGGCTCTGTACCTCACACCCTCTCCAACGGGGCCCCATGGGAACTCATCCTGACCTCTGCTTATCCTTGGCTCCATCCGTCAAGGCAATTTCAGCGTCTGAACCTTTTCAAACGCATGCTCTTATCAGAAAAAAAGGTAACATGTACCTCCAGTGTGTATAAATTTATATGTAAATTATACTAGTGTGAAACTGTTAGTCTGTATCTTAAATATCAGTAATGGTTTTTTTTTTTCAGATAAAATATAAACTTAAATAGAACTTGAATCATTTTATTTCTGTGCCCCAAGTATACTGTCTTACCCATGCCTGGTGGTATGCACATCCCACCTTGGACACCATCCCTTTAAGATCCAGCAAAATTCCCACCTACTCCAGGAAGTCCTCCCTGATTACCCCCACGCTTTCCCACATGAACTAGCATGTAATCTCTGCTGTCTGCTGTGGTCAGTAGTTTATCATAATTCCTTGAAGGCTGAGATGTCCTCATCTGGCCTTGCTGCCAGGACTAGCATTGGGTGGTCTGGAAGGCCCTCAATAAAGAGGTACCTATCGGTTTCTCTGACCTTCTGGCTGATGGTCCAGAGCTGCAGCAGTGGCTTCAGGAGCTTTTGGCTTTGCCTCAGACCTAAGAGGAGCCCCAAGTTCAGGGCCCAGAAAAAGGGTTACTGAGAAATGGAGTATTTTCTGTGCAAAGGAGTGATCCAGCTTCCATTTAGAGTCAGTGTTGCTTGCTTCCCTGGGTCCCATGTCTCTCTTCCCACAGTCCTTGTTTTTGTTTGGGGATCCAGGGAACCTGGCTCCATTCCCAGTTCTAGGGACTGAGCACATACCTCAGGCGAGGCCAAGTTTATCCCCCGGCTGCAGTGATTAAGTCAGGGTCACCCCCATCAGAGTGAATCTCGGGACTTTTGCTTGGGACTCAGGGACCAAAGTAGTTCCTTTTCTCTGGATGCCATATGTAGATGTAAGCCGTGGAATTGCCGGCAGCCACCTTGTGGCAACGAGAGTTGTGAGCTGATGCATGGACAGAGGGAGGTCTGAGAGAAGCATTAAGAGAAGGAGCTGAAGTCCTGATGATACTGTAAGCCCCCAGATCAAACTCTACCTGAAGCAATAACTACTTTTTACATATAAACCTGTTTGGGTTGAGTTTTCAGGTATTTATAACCACAGACATCTAACTAGAGTGTGTAAGTCCAAAAAACCCACATAGTTAAAATTACCCTTAGAAATTCCATATATTACCATGCTGTAAGAGGAACCTGACATCCAAGACCAATGAGAGAGGAGCGGATTCCTATCCTGCAGCTCCTGCTCCATCTGGGGCATAGACTTACTTTGTTGTGAGTGGTGGGTGGATTCACAGACACCATGATAATTATTTCTCTGGTTGTTTAGCTGAATGCATAAAACCGTCCCCTGGTCCAGCCTTGTGGGAACAGAAATTCTTTTGTTCTATGTGCATCACTCTTATAACAGCTCCTTGGACAGGGAGCTCTGCACTCCCGGGGTTTCTGGTTACCTGGTAACTGGCCGGGCAGGCCATCAGAGCTGAGAGGAAACCGAGAGGTTCCTTGGGTCAGCCTCACGGCATGACAGTGAGTCATCGGAAGCCAGAGCAGGGAAGTCCTATGTCTGAGGTCTCAGAGCACACGGTGGGTGCATGGCATCCTGATTCCCAGAGCAATGGTCCCCCTAAGCTGGGAGGGTGGAAAGCATGGGGGCAGGGGCTGGGGCTCTAGGCTCAGCTCAGCCTTTTACCTGCTGAGTCTGGGGAGGTGGGTATGAACAGCTTAGCTCCCCAGCAAATGGGGTCAGCAGTAGCCATAGGCACAAAAAGGCCATCAGAGTCTTGGGGAAGGAAAGAGGAAACTTCCAACTGATGGGCCTGCCCTCCGAGGAGGTCCTGAGCCCAGGGGTCAGCACAAACTGCTGAGGAAAGGCAGGATGTGGGGTTTCATCTGCTCCCCGGGTAGCCTCTTTGCCCCTCTCTGCCAGACCCGGCCCTCGCATCCTAGGAAATCTGACCATCATTGACTATTTTTTTCATTTTCATGAATCCCTTTTGGTGTTGTTGAATTGCACTTGATTTTGATCACCAGAACCGTTTTGAGGCTGGAAGGGCAGTTAGTATCTGAGACTCAGAAGATGATGTGACAAGGCTGTGGAGAGACACTGGGACTCCGAGTCCAGTGCTCTTCCCACCATTGTGAAAGAGTGGCCAGTTCAGAAGGCCCAACATGGAGAGGGGCTGCCCCCCTGGAGCCGGCTGGGCCTATCCTCCAGGGGCCTCTTCCCTTCTCCTCTCCCACCCATCCGGGTCCCTCCCTCACCTGCTCCTCTCTCCCAGCACCCCTACTCCACTCACACCCACCCAGGCCCT